CCTTTTCCTATCAAAGTCTTTATCCATATATAGGCAGCAAGGAAAAGAAATACAAACATTCAACAGCAGCACCCAAAAGTGAGATAGCAAACAACTCTGACATTCCTGATCAGAGATTAGGGTTTCCTCATTTTGAGAGGAACTTTGTAAACTTTGAATATCCCAGGAAAATGTGTGATCCATATTTATGGTGTTTAGCCTTGACACAACTATGTATGGCTTACTCACCGCTTTATTCAGTATAATTACCCTGTCCCAGTAGTGTGTCTATGTATGTTCCATACATTTCTGAAGCTAGTTAAATCCACATTAGGGGAATTTATTCAGAACTGAAAGGCCTCATGAGTAGCTAAATGTGTAGCATTTTCAGAATATTATATACATTTTTACTTTTAAGTAAGATGTTATGAAGCTGGTGAATTCTCAAAATAACCCATCATACAATGTTGCAGCTGCCCACATGTAAAAGTGAACAAAACCACTTTTGGAGAAAAGTCTTTCTACTGAGCTTTAAAGCCAGTCCAGATTAACTTGAAAACAGATAGGAAATATAATCTATATTTGCAGTTAGTAGATAGTTAATCTTGAGGGAGCCAATATGTTTCGTTTTTCAAGGCCTCTGTTAAACAGATGCGATCATTTGTGTTGTGGTTGCTCATAGGTGACGCTGAGTGAGCTATTTACTAAACACACTCCACAATTAGCAAACCACCACTCCATTTCACAACTGCTCAATCTGAGCTAAGGGGTCAGACCAAGCTATTCTTTAGTAAGTAAAAGGGCAAAAGATGCCAGATGTATCTGTGCCCATTAGCCTTTTGCAGCAGATATTCATATTCATTAGGCACCACCGCAAAATAAAGCAGTGACAAATTATTGCCTTTCATGCTCACATTCCAACTTCACCTCTTCCTCTCCTAACAACGCCTCAGGCTGCATCAGAATCTAACCAGTTAGGCGTTTCAGATATAAATATTTCCATGTCCTTCCCAAGGAAGCCAGAGTGGGAACTTAAATCCTTCTGTATACAATGCAAATGCTCTTGCCTCTGATCTGAATGACCCACCTTCCCCAATGCGAGAAGGGCAAAAGCCTCTTCCCCAAGATCAACACAGATTGCAAAAACTCTCCTTAGTCCTCTGGCTCCTGCAGAAGATTTGGGGGGAGACACCAGAGGAGGAGATGCTGTCAAATCCAGAGCCTGGTCCCTTCCTCAAATCATCTGCAGATCCCAGAGGGAAGAAGGAGCTGAGGGCACCCACAAATAACCACACTCTACGGAGGCCCACTAGTGATGTATGGAAGTGAGAGCTGGACCATAAAGCAGGCTGATCGCCGAAGAATTGATGCTTTTGAATTATGGTGCTGGAGGAGACTCTTGAGAGTCCCATGGACTGCAAGAAGATCAAACCTATCCATTCTGAAGGAAATCAGCCCTGAGTGCTCACTGGAAGGACAGATCGTGAAGCTGAGGCTCCAATACTTTGGCCACCTCATGAGAACAGAAGACTCCCTGGAAAAGACCCTGATGTTGGGAAAGATGGAGGGCACAAGGAGAAGGGGACGACAGAGGACGAGATGGTTGGACAGTGTTCTCGAAACTACAAACATGAGCCTGACCAAACTGCGGGAGGCAGTGGAAGACAGGAGTGCCTGGCGTGCTCTGGTCCTTGGGGTCACGAAGAGTCGGACACGACTAAACAACAACAACAACAACAACAACAACAACAACAACAACAACAACGGAGGCCCGCCAGAGGTTTCACTAATCTCCTCTTCTTTGCGCCGTTTATAGATGCTCTCAGGATTCCCCCCGCCCCCCCCGTCCTCCGATAATAAACAACTTCTCGCCACTAGTTTCCGTTCCCTTAATAAGGCCAAAGGAAAGCGAAAGATGTCGCCTTCCTTGGCTGGGGGACAGAAGGAAGAGCGAGTGGCCGCGAGGGCACCGGAGGGAGGCGTGACCCGCCTTCCCTCCGGTGCCAGTGCCTGCTCCCGAGTAAATGGGCGCAGACCCGGCGCATCACGAGTCTTGGCGCTCGTCCCGAGGAAACGGCGCAGGAGCCTGGCCAGAAGGGAGGCGAAGCCCTTCCCCGTACCTGCGACGTCAGCCCCTGCTCCTCGTCGTCCTGCCCGCTCAACACCCGCCGGAGTTTCTCCATTGCCGCGGCAGCCGCCCCTCAGCGCCGCCCACCCCCGTCGCCGAGAAGCGCCCACACTGCTCTTCCTCGCGGGGCTCTCGCCTTGTCAGCTCCTCTGCCGCAACCGCCTCCTGAGGGAAAGCTAAACCGGAAGCTGGCCGTCGAGGAAAAACCGGAAACACCTTTGAGTTGGGTTCAGCCAACCGTCATGGCTCCAAATCCCCATCCCACCCCGCCGATATCAGTAGTCCCGCCCTCTCCTTCTCCTCGCCGAATAGTGATCAAAATACCCGTTGGCCACACCCCCTTCTCGTTTTGCTTGTCACACGCAGCAGGGCTCGTTTCCGGTTTCTCTTCGAAGGCCGCCATGTGCGGGGCATTGTTTCCCCCCACTTACATTCAATGGAGAACCTGAAGTCAGCTTGGTTTTTGTTTGTTTGGGGTTTTTTGCATTGTCTCTTACCCGTTTTGTTCCCATGCTCGTATCCACGTGACTTTCTTCCAGCGATCTTCAGACACCGCCCCCCAATTCTTCTCTAATCGAACCGATCCATCACTTTCAGTTACAGGCGTGTCGTTCGCTGAGTGTTCCTTCTGTTATCAATAAGCTCCATTTATTTTTAGTGTTAGGAGCGCTGGCACAAGTAAACATAATTCCACAAAATAGAACGTAAAACCGCCAGTGACAAATGGCAGAGATAAAACAAATGGCGAGATATACGGTATATGTAAACCAATAGCTAAATCAGAAGCCGCCTAGGTTTGTGTGTTCTAACCACATGTAAGAATTGTGCAAAGCCTCACGACCCATGTATTGCTCTATGACCGTATTAAGGTTGTTTTTACCTTCTCTTTTCAATTTTTACATTTTAAACTGAAGAACTGCCTTGAGAGTATTGGGCAAGAGTACCATATGAATGATAAAATATTAGTTTCATGGGATGCAGTCATGCTTAGTAAGAATAAGGCAAATGGGCATTACAAAAACCACCATCGTTAATAAACATTCTTCCCACAAATTTCAGCTGCACTTTTTCTTGTTCACCCTCCTTTGACACCATCCTGCTATTTGAATCATTGCAAAAAAATAGTTGGATTTTCTGCTGTCTCAAAAGGATGACTGGCCTATACATATAAAGGGAGCTCAACTAGGGGAAGGAAAACTCTGATCCTAAACCTCCACTGCCTTGCAGGACATCTTTGGGAGAAGAAAGAGCTAAGGAGAAGAATGAGCTAAGCGTACACAAATCTGGAATGCAGCCCTAAGACGGCTGGATGATGCCTTATACACCTTCTGACAACTCCTGCAGCCAAGCTGGTGCCAAATGTATTGCTCTCCTTTCCTTTGGGCCACGAGGCAGAGGGGAGTCTTGTAGTCTGGGCAGCCCAAGCTCGCCATACATGCAGTACATTCCCGTTTCGCCACATCGCTGCCCCTGAAGATGCAATTAGTTGGGATGAAACAGAGGGGTGGGTCTATGCAGAAGTCATGGAGCTCCCTGCCCACGCAACCTTGCCTCATTCCTTGATAATCTTTGGCTTCCTTGCAGGGACCATATCATTTCAACAGGTACCACCACCAAATGCTATTATCCCACATAATTCTTTTCAGTGCATTGACTCCTCTATAGTTGTAGAAAGTGCAAGTATTATTTCATAGAACTAGCACGATGTCTGCATGGTTAGACCCAATTCAATGGCAACACAATTCTCCCTAGCCAAGGTAGAGCAGAAGCTCTAATTCCTTGGAAAACAGGCAACCAGAGGTTTACACTGGTGGAACCAGTGGCAGATAGTTCCGAAGGTTGAACTGAAACAGGAGATTGTTATGTGTATAACAACTGTTTGCTTTCTTCTCTAGATGCTGCTTTTGTTTTCGCAGCTCACTTCGACTCATATGGGGGAGGATGTTGTGATAGGAGTGCTCAGCAGCTGCAAACTCATAGCTCATTGTTTACATCACATGATGTGTCTGATGGGTCTGAGCGTGAGACCGGATGTTCGAAGCTCTTCTCAGAGTTGTGTTCTCAGTGTAACTGCAAAGGGGGAGTCAGTCAGTTGTATGGAGGCTTCTGAGAGAGAGGTCATGTCTTTGTACAGTGTACAGTCTGTGAAATAAAGTAGAATGGAATAGGCTACTTTTCAGACTGTTTTCTTTCTTCTGCTGTCATGCAAGGGGGAAGGGAGTGTGCATCTCTCAAGAGGGAGGTGTCGCTTATTGAAGACCTCCGTGGTCTGACCGAAAACCAGCCAGGGTAGATCACTGGCAACAGGCCCCAGAGCCTGGGAAGAGGAGTCAGCCTTTCCTGAGGGGGCCAGTTTCCAACATTCCAGTCTATAATTTTGTAAGATAAGGTCTAAATTTACATAGCCGAGTGCTGAGCATCAGTTGATAATGCTGCATTGACATTTATTTTGCTTTTTTAAAAAAAGGAAAATATGGAAGTAGCAACAATGTAAGGTTTTCGGGAGCTATGAATCTGAAGTCCTAATCCATGAAAATAATTTGAATAATCTGCTATTCATTTCTATTTAGGGATCTGTTCTTCCCAGTTACAAAGGAAGTAGCTACTAAAATGTAGAAAATCACAACTTTAGCACTATCTGTGGTCAAAGGACTGTTTTTGCACTTTCTTCCCATGGATTCCTTTTATCCTTACACCAATCTATAGATTAATACAGCCCACTTCCACATTAGCAAGTCAGTAGAAAAGAAGAAAAACTACCTGTATGCTTTTACCAATGTATGTATTAATATTAGCTTGGAAGTCTTTACAACAGAAATGGACCTCACACACAAGAAGTTCCACCCTTCATAGATTTTTCATAAATGGTAGCTTGTTTTGTTCAATCCAATAATGCAAGTACAGTACCATTTTTATTAACATAGCTGAAAAACCGTTAGTACAAAATTTTCTCAAAACAGTTTATTGCCATTAGTTTAATTAATTTCATATTGTAACTCCTTCACCTGCTGAGAAAGTTTACTGCCCCCAAAGTTGTTGAACTAAAAAGAAAACTGTTCAATGTCCTCAGTACATGGTACTTTACAATTGTTGATAAAAGTCATAAGTGCTATAGGAGGAAGTAACTAGAACATTGTGCTGAAATTTATGATTCTGGTAGTCCGGAGTATCCTTCAACACTCTTAAAAGCCTTCATTTAAGTCTGCAGTTAAGTTTTGTATTAAATAACATTTAAAAGTTTCTAGTAATAGCTTCATGGGACAAATAAAATGGAATTAGGACACAGAGACAACTTGACTATCCACAACATTCAGCATACTTGCAACAAGTGGGATACTTCAGCTCTTAGGGGTGCAGTCTACATACAATAGAGATGTAGAAGTACACAAATTTTGTTCACTAGGCAAACCTGACCACAGACAACTGGATATCCAAGCACTGGATGTAACATTTACAAACAATCCACATGTGAAACTCCTCTGGTACATAGGTCCAAACAATATGGTACACAAGACCCTGGAAATTATCCCACGTTTCAAACCTAAAATGCTGGAATTTGCAATTCAGGCTCCACGCAAACATTACTTCTGCAGTGTGGATGTCTAGCAGGTCTTTGGCAGGACAGATAATCCTATAAAAATTCTACTTTCCACCTACATGTAGCCTGTGCCACTCTCAGATTTTGTCTGAATCAGCCCATAAACTGTAATGAACTTCTGTTTTCCCCCTTCAGTTTATTTATTGGGGGTGGGGATGGAGTTAAGACCTGAATATATGGAAGAGCACAGATACAACATTCAAATCAGTCAGCAGTCAGTCAGCAACTACTATTTTTCAGTCAACATTGTACTGCTGATAGTAGAGCCTGATAATACAATTTAATTATAAAAACAGTCAGGAATGGGTGCTTCTGAACACAAGCTCTATTTTATGGCAACTAGAATGCACTTAAGGAGACAGAACCACCATTCTTGAGTACATGTGTGCCAGGCTGCCAAATACCCATTGTTAAATTCTTAAAATCAAAATGCACAATTTGGTTCACAGCCTTGTTTGTTGCAGCTTGTGAACAATTCTTATCCTCCTGAAAAGTTGTTATGTGTGTATGCTGAACAATTTCATAAATAAATAAATATAAAAATGCAGTATTTGTAAGGCAAGATGTTTGATGCAATGTTTCAAACTGCTGGGGTTCTTTTTAAAAGGCAGGCTACAAAATTCAGGGATGGGATGACATTGAACGTTGCCATGAATTTTAATGAAATGGTGATGCAAAAATATTGGACACAGCAACTGTGGATGGCAAAAACATTCATTGATTGTAATCTGTGGAGCACCTTTTCCATTTCCCCCTGTTAAACAGGCACTCAGTTCTTCTTTTCCATGCTGTGAAGGAGAGAAAAAATAAAAATAAAAAGTTGATTCAAGGAAAAGTCTCCATCCAACAAGGCTTATGAAGAAAACAAGTATGAGATTAAAAAGCTGCTTAGTTTATCTCAGTAATTGTTACAGCAATTTTTTTAAAGTGTACTCACTTGAATTTAATTAATCGTCCTCCTTGGATAAGTTGTGCGCCTTCATTGGTAAAGTGACAAGCAAACAGCAACCAGTTCCTTGGCTGCACCTTATATGCAAACCGCATGAAAGTCAACGAGTAACAGCAGAGGGCTGTAAAAGTAAAATTAACAAGACTTCAGAGTATTCTGGAACTCTGACTAGGCAGTTCCCTCCATTTCTGCAATTACTATTTCAATTACATTCCAAGTGAACCTCTTTTCACACTGACAATTAGATATATGTATTTCATCCTCTTACAATTACTACTGGAGCAGATGCTTTTGCTACTGAAAATGCTAAGTAATCATTGGGCTGTTTGGGGGGATTTTTTTGCTGCCTATACGTCCTAAAAATTGTACTTCTACAAACCTCAGGGTTCCCCTCAGCATACTGTGATTATCTCCCTCTTTTTCTCAGTGGGTCTATTTTGGCTCCATTTCTCTTGGGACTAACCAAGTTCTTTAAATGATTGCAAGTATCCCACTCCTGTCACATACAGTAGTTCGGAAAATGAGCTACGAATCAAAGAGATGCCATAGGCCTGCGCAACCTCAATTCAGTTCTTCCCTTTGATCAGTAGTTTGTTATTCAGCATTGCCAGGCATGGAAGTGTTTTGGGTTTGTTGCACCTACTCATCATCTGAAAGAAAGTGTCTTTTTGGCATTTAAAAAAAGCTATGAGCATTGTAATATGGAACCCCCTTGTTGAAGCAGTTAAATATTAACTGCTTTTTGTCTTTTGAAGGCTGCAGAATATCTACATTGTTGTATAATTTAGTAGTTCCCAAGAAATACACAAAATAGTTACACAGTGTCTGCGCTCAGAGTTGCTGCCATGTGCAAATAGCGATAGGCACACCCACAGATGCTGTCACATATTTATAAGCCTCACAGCCTCTTTCAGCAGGACTATATCTATGTCAACTAGCAGCCCCTCCAAGTTCTTTAAATGACTGCAAGAATCCAACTCCTGTCAGATATAGTAGTTTGGAAAATCAGCTAGGAATCAAAGAGATTCCTTAGGCCTGCACAATCTCAGTTAAATTATTCTCTTTGATCGGTAGTTTGCTATTCAGCATTGCTAGGTGTGGAACTGTTCAATAAATACTATTAAATGTAGCTCTTCAAGAAATAGCAATAAATGCAGGTTACACATCTAAGTAAGTTTGCTGACACTTTAAGAATTAGTTTCATCCCTAGATTAAACATTTTACTACTTACCAAAGGTCATTCGACCACTGATGATCTCTGGTGATTTCTTCATATCATTAATAGCAGCAATAGGGAGTCCCCAGTTGGCTACTGGCCCCCAGAAGTGCTATAATGGAGATAATAAGAGGAAAAGATGCTTTACCCCCCTGCTTCTTCATATTTTTTAAACCAGAATTTCAAGATGTAATGCTGAACAGGAGCCATCTTATTTCTTACACACTAAGAATGTGTTGGTTAAAGTGTCTGTCCTCTCCCAGTGTATTAAGTCAAATAAAATGTTTAGCATAGTACATTTACTCTGCAATAGGAGAACAGAAGTATGTATGAAATAACCTTACACTGACAGTCCAATTAAGACAAAGCAAGCATTCTATGTAATTAGATTTTTTTTACCTAAAAGTCATTTCTCAAGTCTAGTGGATTCCCAAAGTTTAGAATAGAAAGAAGAAGTGTACTGTATACTTTCAGGCTTCTCAAAAAGCTTCAAAATTCACATCATGATTCCTGTCACTAAGGTGTTTTTTAAGGGGAAATGTATTTATTTGAACATACATATATATTAAGACTACTTAATAGGATATTCAGGAATTATCAAATACCCATATTTACTGGGAAACCAGCTGAATTAGCATTGCTAATGTAAGAGGTAAGCAACAAGAATTTTCTGTGTAAGAAAGCACCATCTTTAAATGCTGCATGAGAGTTGGATTAATTTCGCACTCACTTGGATTTACTTATAATTACTAATAAAGCCTGATTTTTTTGGGGACCCTTTTTGCTTCAATATGGAGTTTAATTGTATAGTATTGCCGGCTACAAAGATCATCAGTTCAATAGTTTCCTGAAATAACAAATGCTCCCACACACTGCTATTTTGTTGGGGGGTCACAAACTAATTTTGCAACCATCAGAGGAGAGGCACAACAGCACAATTGCCTTGAACATACTTCAGAGTGCAGCGACCCCTTCAGCTAGCTGCAGCTACTTGTTGCATTATTAAGCAGTTGCTATATGTACTGGAAAGAGTCATAGCTGAACAATACTGACAATCAATGAATAGCATACATCCTTTAAAATGAAGTACTTGTACTAATTGCACCCCTCTCCTTTTTTGGCAGTGGGAGGCAGACACACCAAATGTCATATACAATTTCAAGAAGCAGGTTATATCTTCAGAAGAAAATGGCTGAACAACAATTCTGTCTACACTAGTATCAAGTGATAAGTTTATTGAGATCTCAGGGTAACTATTTGAATGTGGGCGTGATACTAATGGAGCAGAAGAAATAATATTTTATCTAACCCATCTACAGAGAGGAACAGCACATCAACTGTGCAGGCTTGTTCATAACTAAGCAAGAACAGCACAATTACAATTGGCAGAAAGAAAGCAGAGACGGTGCCTTACCGTACTGTGTTATGAGAAGCCATAATGTTTCATCATTTAATTGGTACATGAAAGAGAAAATAAATAGTTATTAGCTTTCATGAAATAAAATTCAGTATGTATGAGAGATGCCACATATAGTTCTTCACAAAAAAGTCAAAGTACTTTAGTGTGCTCATTTAGCAACAAATCACTAAAATGTGTTTTATATTCTCATGTCTTTGGAAATAAGGAGCCATAACTAATTTTATCTACAAAATATATTCAACATGACATTTTCTAAAGGTTATTGCATTATTTGAGATATCCAACTTTATGAATAGAGACAATAAGTTTATTTAGAGGCATTATATGCATGAATGGGATGTAGTAACAGTATCTTGTTATTTTAACAATGGTTCTGGACATGGTGCCCCCATTTTCAAAATAAATGCTTCTCTCCTGACCTGCAAAGGGGGAAAGAGTAGTAAAAATATGACTGTGAGTTGTCTTCCTCTAGCATAACCATTTAGCTTTAAGGTAGGGCAACAGAAGAGAAAGAAAAAGGACCGTAAAAAATAGCAGAGCCTTGTGTTAAATAAGGGCACAGTGTGAAGACTGAAAGAATTGCTGAATGCCTATCTTAAGAGCCATGGGCTACCAGGTTAGAAGGAGCTGCAGCATATGCAGCACTGCCCCAAGCTTCACACCTGAAAAATTAACTTTCAAACTAAAACAGAAAAATGGGACAGCCACACATGCATTCAGAATGCAGGCCTATATAAACACGTCAGAACTAGGGAGGCATACTTTGAATATTACTTGGATGGTACAAAAACTCTATTCCTCCTTTTCCCAGGTTAGTTATCTTTGGTCACTATGCCACTCTCTCTTTTGAAAGTTTCATGGTGGTAGAATCCACTTGGATCCTCTGCCAGTCACATCAAAAGAGCCACCTCACAGATTTGGAGAACGTATATGAGAAGAAGAAAGCACAGGGAAGGACAGGCACCCTCCTCCCTCCTTCTGCACAGTCACTTCCATGCACATTGAGTTATTGTAGGTCTCCACTTGTTTTAATGAAAGCCAAATCTTTTAAATGATAAAGTTGGCACGCCAAGCAGGTGCCATGGGATTGTAGTTAACTTGCACACTCCTAATTCAGGCTACTATATTCCATTATGCCTGTATCTGCAAATAATTAAAAGGCTTCATTATTCCACGCAACAGTTTCTCTCTCAGCATCCCATGCATGACCCGTTAATCACCGATTTAATGTCTTCATTCTGTCATTCCCCCGACCTTGTGCTCTTGCAAGTCAACATACTTCATTTACTTTACCCCAGAACGATGATCCTAACTGCCCCTATGAGAAGGTCTTCATTATCTAGGATCTTAGTTTGCCTAAACTTTACACGTGCCTGAATGTTTAAAAAATTCCCAATATCAAAATATCTCCTTTCTTCTTTCTCAGGGATCATCATCTGCTTTCTTCTTTAAAAATGCATATTATTTCAGATAAGGATTGCAAAAGAGCTGCATATAAGGTGGCCTTTACATATCCTGCCAGTCACATGGAATCCACTGTCCATGAAATCACTTGCAGCTGCAAGAACATCTAAATAAGCTGGGCATATTGAAAGAATCATCTCACTATCTCCTATTTGGGTTATGTGAGAAGGAAACCCAAACCATTCCAGTGACTAAAGATTCTAGGTTCTTGTTTATGAAGTAAATCTTGCATAGATCAACAAGGCAAAGGACAGTTCATTGTTCTATAGTCATCTTGCCCATTCTCTCAAGAGGCTCTGACTTTTAAAAAACATTTAATAAGTACACTTTAAATCAACACCACCTTTTCAGCACTAAAATCAATTTGATCACCATAGGCACTCAACAGCATGACCAGGATGGGCTTGGCAACAGTTTATGGAGCAATAATATGTCTCTATCAAACATTACCACCTGAAAGCCTGGGGAATACAGAAATTAGCTGAGCAGAAATGTAGTATTGCAAGCATTTCAAGACATACTCCCAAAAGTCCTTTGTAACCTGCTTGTTCTTCCAAAGTTTAAACTGAGAAGATACACTGGAAGTAGATTGCTTCAGTAAGGAAATCAGTATGGGCATATCTACACCAGAATTTCCTCTCTATCGTTTATAAACAGATGTGTACAAAGACAAAAAAGAAGCTCCATGCTAATTCCTTAACTCCCTTTGGTTTATGTTTGATGCCTGTCTTGCATATCCTGTTACTTTTTTCACTTCCGCTAGAAGTTAATGTTCATATGTAGGCACACTTCTTTTCAGCTTGGTTTTATAAAAGTGTTATCTGTTGTTGCTGGTTTTATAAAACAATTTAACCATTGTTGCTGCTAGAACAGACTTGTAAGTAGTCACTAACTTACCGAAATTTCCCATGAAAAGAAAGAATTGGAGTTCAGTGATCAGATAGGGAAGCCTTACAAAAACTGGTTGCCATCTTCTTGTGAATCATATACACAATTACTAGCAAAAGTAATTGTGGGCTGTATTTGTAATTACCGGTACTTTTATGGGCCTATTTGTAAAGCTGTGCTGGCATAGTCATGGAGATTTAATTATACGTTATCTACAATTAAACTTTCTGTATGGCAAAAATGTAAAATTACAGATTGCTACTGTGAGATTTGAAGAGTAACTAAAAATCTGGGGGTGGGGGAGAGGGAAGCAAACCCAACTCAGATCAAAGTCAGCCCCAACTACAGGAATAAAAATGGAGAGTAAGGAACCGGAGAGAATTGTTTGCAAAAGCATAGATGCAACCCAATAATTCAATGGACTGAAATGAGGTAACCTGTAGTGCAGACAACCTTCGTTTGAAAGTTAAATACTCATTTACTACTAGGTAACCACAGTTTGTACAACAGACTTTGAAATATATATATATATATTTAGTAGCTCCAAGATTTAAAAATTGGATAGTGTTGCACCAGAGATCCCTATAGACACACACACACTATATATGTGTGTACACACACACACACACACACACACACATATATATAGTGTGTGTGTGTGTGTGTGTGTGTGTAAGTTTTTGAACGTAGGCCAGTAGCTGAACTAACATTTATTATACCAGCTACAGAACAACTTACCAACAAGACTCACAAGCAACTCGGGGGGGGGGGGGAGAGAGAGCCAGTCCCTTTATTCTTTTGCAATCTCTTACATGGGCTGATGGAAATAGAATAACCTAACCTAGATGTTTTCCTCCTGCTATTATCATTAGTATATTGGTTTTTTAAGGTTTATTTTTTATTTATCAAAGTAGTTATACACCACTATTCATTAAAAATGTCCAAGCACTTTACAATGACAGTATATAAACCATACAATTAAAACCATATTGTTGTTGGAATGGCTATGGTAGGTGAACCAGACAGAGCTGGTAAAAGGTGGTAAAATACAGTAAAAAGTTGTGAGAAGAGCGTATATTCTGAATGCTGGCATTAAAATGTATAATTAAATAAAGTACTGATAGGAATGATAAAGCTAGTTCTAGTATATTTTGAATGGAGGCATAAAAATTCATTAAATTAAAGCACTAGCATGTGAATTGGAGTGGTTGTCCTAACTTAAGGAAACATCATCATCTTTTAAAATTAAACAGATTCTTTGTCTTCTTGATTTCTTACATCCCTGTCTTAAGCAGCAATGTCAAATGACTGGGAAAGATCTGTATATTGTGCAAGCTCTTTCTATCTTGTGCAATATAAGCACAGCATTAGTAAAAACAGATTGGGGTCATCATGGAAATGGGCATAAAGCTCTTCTGCAATCACATCATGTTTATACACGTAGTGTATCATAGTTAACAATTGTATCATAGTTAACAGAACTCAATATTTAACATTAGCATTTAGCAACAAAGCACCCCACCCACAATTAAGCCTATTTCACATGCATGGAACAAATCAATGTCACTTTAGAACATGGTTAATCCCAAACATAATTTCTGATCTTAAATCCAATTCGCTCCATGTAATATTTTGTGTCTTCCCACCAGTCATTACAGCACTGCAGGTTTTCTTCATTACTCAAACTTGCTCAATCCCCTTCTGCATGTTGAGGTACCCAAAGGGTCCCAAAGCAGTAGCCTGCATCCTATTCTGTGGAGTAGATTGAGAACAGGTGGGTGCAGAATACAGGGCCTCTCCTTAAAAAGGGATAAATGGCAACTAGAGATGAATAAGATTACCACTACAGCGATGGATGTCTCAGTATGTTCAGTAGAATTTAATCCCAGATAAGCATATACAGCAGAGGAGGATCTTCAGACACAGGACAAATTGTCTCCAGATCTCCCTATTTGGCCCATAAGGCTGTCTTCCTTAAACCACACCCACCTTCCCCAAAGCTGACAACCTATGTGGACATCAGGTGTGAGGCAGGTAGAGGCACAGCTGCTTCTCCTGCAGAAAGCAAGACTGAGCAGGTCAGTCCACCATCTGATAGGTGATTGACAGATGGGTTGTCCCACCAAACATCATTATGCTATCTGATGACTGGCAGGTGGATGAGACCTGCCTCTTTCAAAGTCTGTGTGGCGAATATATATCTATATAAAAGATCTGGTCCACCTGGTCAAAAAGGTTCCCATCTTCGGGTTTACTAGCATTGGGACGCGGGTGGCGCTGTGGGTAAGAGCCTCAGCGCCTAGGGCTTGCTGATCGAAAGGTTGGCGGTTCGAATCCCCGCGGCGGGGTGCGCTCCCGTTGCTCGGTCCCAGCGCCTGCCAACCTAGCAGTTCGAAAGCACCCCCGGGTGCAAGTAGATAAATAGGGACCGCTTACTAGCGGGAAGGTAAACTGCGTTTCCGTGTGCTGCGCTGGCTCGCCAGATGCAGCTTTGTCACGCTGGCCACGTGACCCGGAAAGTGTCTCTGGACAGCGCTGGCCCCCGGCCTCAAGTGAGATGGGCGCACAACCCTAGAGTCTGTCAAGAGTGGCCCGTACGGGCAGGGGTACTTTACCTTTACCTGTATTACTGTATTCAGCAGATGCAGTTGTCATTTCTACAACACTGAGGCTGAAACTGCAGGGCCCGTTCCCCACCCCCACCCCCGGAATATTTACGAGAAGGAAGCCCCTTCCTTACAGCAGCCAAGCCGACATTTAGCTTCCTATATAGACGCATCGGATGCAGGTGCAACAGCAGCAGCGCACCTTTCACCTGAACGGGCGGGCAGGATGCTTCCACCGCGAGCCGGCAAACTCCCCGCGCAGGCCCCGTTCCCAAGGACACCGAATGCCACCCGAGCCTCAAGGGTCACCCTGGGCGTAGGGAGGCCCAATTTCGCCCGTTTGCGGATCAAGAGGTGCGCATTTTGAACCACACCACGACCACCCAGAGATGGGAGCGCCCGGCAACTCAACGGAAATCCTGACAGGAGACCAGGTAGCAGACACGACACAGAAAGCAAAAGAGAACGAGCTATATTTCTCCCGAGCCAAGCAGACACGGACTCGCAGCCGCGACTCCAAGCCCTCCCGCCCGTGTTTCCCCTTTGATGCGGAGACAGAGGCTGTGTGAATCCACCCCACCAAACGCGAGGCGCGCCCGCAGCTCCTTCCCCTTCCAGGCAGCGGGTGAGCAGCGCCCTGAAGGCCCCGCGAAGGTCGGCTCGGCCGCGGGGAGAAAGACCGGCTTCCCCCTCTCGCCCACCTCATGAGGTAGTCCCTGAAGTCCTTGCTGCGCAGGTAGTCCGCGGCCTTGCGGGCCAGCGCCGCCATGGCGGAGGCGAAGGAGCGACGGAGAAAAGAAGAAGAGCCACCCGCGTCGCCGCCTCTACCGCTTCCAATGACAAGCTCCTCAGGCGCGGAGGGCGAGACGCCTCTTCACGACCGGCTTCTGCTTTACGGTAACGCCTCCGTTTTCATCACAACCCGGCTGCCCATTGGCGCAAACGGCGGCGGCGCCCCTTCTCCTCATTAACTTTACAACGAGGTGCCGTAAAGCGCGGGAGGGGCCCCTTGCTTAGAAGTGCCGGAGGCCGTGGCGGGGGGGCGGGGGCGGTGCGGGAACTGAATGCCACAACATTTAAAGCCAAATTGGCCTTTCACCTCCCGCCCCCTAGCCGGGCGATGCGTCATGGTGGGCAGGGCTTCTCTGAGCCGCGAGAGTCTGCTTGCTTCCTATTGGCGAGGGGCGATGGCACGGCGTTCTCTTCACCCCCCCTCCCCCCCTGGCTTTCAGTTGGCCTGTCAAGGGCAAGAAGAATGGCAGGAGCTGATGAGGCCACAGAGCGGGTTTGTTTCTTATCCTTCTTTTCACTATGGCAGATGTGCCTGGGATTGAGGCCATCAGCTGTGAAGGGAGCGTTCCCTTCCTCTTATTTCAAGGGCAAGGCAGGCTGGAAAGTGTTGTCAAAGGGTGAAGACACTGCACTCTCAGCCAGGGTTTAATAAGCCTGTTTTTAGAATAGAGTTTAGGATCAGGATTACAACACTCCCCACTACTTTTTGGACAGTGTGCTCCAGTGCGTTGGATATTATTTTTATAATTATCTTTATTTTTATTGATATCTCACTTTTTACCCCATTTGCACCACTGGCACTCACTCTGGTCACTTTTGTTGAACTATACCCTAAGGTCTGTTTTGCAGTTATGCACCACCAGTTCAGATTAGTCCTTTATATATATATATGAGAAGTTAGGAGTACTTACTTATAAGGGATGGCTGTCCCTATGGTCTAAACCACTGGCCCTCTTGGGCTTGCCGATCACAAGGTTAGTGGTTCAAATCCCCACAACGGAGTACGCTCCTGTTGCTCTGTCCCAGCTCCTGCCAACCTAGCAGTTTGAAAGCACGTCAGTGCAAGTAGATAAATAGGTACTGCTGTGGCGGGAAGCTAAACGGTGTTCACGTGTGCTCTAGTTTCCATCACAGTGTTCTGTTGTGCCAGAAATGTTTTAGTTATGCTGTCATTAGTTTATGTCTCAATTCATTAGACATACACAGAGATAGGTACTCAATTTAAGTACAGTAGAGAAACATGCCATCTTTATAACTGGGGGGGGGGGATAGATTATAAGTCTGAGGGCAGGGGCTGTCTTATTTAATTGATTCTAAGTAAGCTACTCTGGGATTCTGTTTGGCTGAAGAGTGGGGTACAAATGTTATAAATTATTTTAGTTCCCCTCTTTTTAGTTGCCAGGATCCCCCTGCAGTTCTTTAAAAGCAGAAGTGAACTGCTGGTTTTCCACATTTAAATCAAAACACATTGACAAATATCTAGCTAGGTCATACTCAAGGGTAGACCCACTAAATGGACAATGGGTCTACTCTGAGTATGACTAGCAGTTAATATTACCTACTGTATATTTAAAACAGCTACTGGATGGCTCTCAGAAGCTTTCAATTTCAAAAGTGCAAGGAGAGTCTTTATCTAGAAAAGATTATTTTTAACCCAGGGAATGCTGCCTTTTAACATGACTTTTAGCCTCTTCTAAAGCAGGCAAACAAGTTGGTTGGTTGATGTTATCTTTGGTTAGAAGCAAGAGATAACGGAAATGCCTGTTTCCCTGCTACCTTTGGATATAAACAGCACTCTTTATGAACTTGCTTCATCTCTCTATATACCCTGCAGCTCTTCTTCCTCAAGAGAAGTTCTGAATTCTTCTTGTTGCTAACAGGGGCTTTTAAAAGAAGAATCAGAACACCTCCACACAAAATGCCACTTGGGGCTCATTATACCCAAGCTCCACAGGGGCAGTTTCTTTGACTGTATGAGTGAAAGAGACAAATAACCCTTCACCTAATTTGTTCATTATCATCACCTTTGATCCAATTCCTCGACAAACACACACAAAAGGCCATTTAGGTCGATAAGTGGTGGATTATTAAACAGTGAGTATGCTGGATGGAGGACTGACCTGAACACTGTAAACACTAATGTCCTTTCCAAAATAACTGGGATCAAGGGGAAAGTGTCAGCTGCTCAAGTACAGTGTGAACTGCCAAGTTTTTCAGAAGGCTGTGAACCAATCCGGGGCTTCTGTCAGTTGTAAAATCCTTCCACTATAGACAGTGCAATCCTATATTCACTAGTTCTTGAAGTCTTCTGAAGTGGAGGCTCTATCTGCTGCTGAAACCACTCCTGGGGAAGTGCCTCCGCACATTATGCAAATGCTTCGCCAGTAAAGTTCTCCCTGCAGACCCCTGAAAATGGAGTACTAGGCAGGCCTGTGCACAGGAAGAGAGGGCAGCTGGGTACACTTTCCCCAGGCCTTGGAGGGCTAAGCAGGCTTGGGGCCCCACCAGAGACTGGCTGCTTTTTGGTTTGAGTTTATAACTATTCTAAAAAGTCTCCCACCCTGGGCCTCAGAGAAGCTCTGCACTGGCCTGATCATAGGTGAGGCATGAGTGGCATGGGGAGAAGTATACAGACATGGTATACTAACCTCCCACTAGTCAATTCAAACACACCAAACATCTACATCAGGACAGGGCCAAGACAGCACCCAAACCATCCCCAGCTCAGGAGGAGAGGGGAAAGGAAAAGTGTGCCAGGCAGAGAAATCTTCCTATATTATTGGAGTCAATGAGAGAGGAACTGGGCTTGGCTTCTATGGCTCTGACAGTCTTGGTTCTAAGAAATGTGTTCTCAGAATGGTCCTAAGAACCTTATTCTGAACAGTTTCTAGGTTTTGAAGTTTCCTGCAGTCCCCAGATCTCAGCACGGTGGAGGATTCACCCACTCTGATTTTTCAGAATGGACAGAGCAGGAATAGGCAACTCAGCCCTCCAGATGTTTTGGGACTACAACTCCCACCATCCCTAGATAACAGGACCAGTGGTCAGGGACGATGGGAGTTGTAGTCCCAAAACATTTGGAGGGCCGAGTTTGCCCATGCCTGGGTCAGAGTTTTTACCTTCACATCTCCATATATGGAGCAAATTTGGGGGCGGTGTGGGGCACACACAGCAGGAAGAGAGGAAGGAAGTCCCATTGCACCAGTAATTTTTGCACTAGCACAATTATTCCATTGAATATTGCCCCATACATTTAAACCACATTTATACTACTTGAGGGACGCGGGTGGCGCTGTGGGTTAAACCACAGAGCCTAGGACTTGCCAATCAGAAGGTCGGCGGTTCGAATCCCCGTGACGGGGTGAGCTCCCGTTGCTCGGTCCCTGCTCCTGCCAACCTAGCAGTTCGAAAGCACATCAAAGTGCAAGTAGATAAATAGGTATCGCTCCTGCGGGAAGGTAAACGGCATTTCCGTGCACTGCTCTGGTTCGCCAGAAGCGGCTTAGTCATGCTGGCCACATGACCCGGAAGCTGTACGCCAGCTCCCTCGGCCAGTAAAGCGAGATGCGCGCCACAACTCCAGAGTTGGTCACGACTGGACCTAATGGTCAGGGGTCCCTTTACCTTTACTACTTGAACATTCACAATGTCCCCCAAAGAATCATGGGAATCATAGTTTACCCTTAACAAAACTACAGTTTCCTGGATTCTTTGAGGGCAGTCATGTGCTTTAAGTGCATACTGTAGATGTGACTGGTGGGCTTGGTGAATAGGGGCTCTTTTGTTTTAAATACCTATATCCAAATGTTGTACATTCTGTAACACAAAGATCATGAGATTCAAAAGTGTCAATATTTTACATTATGAGATGGTCTGATACTGTCATCTACTGTCTGCCTTTCTGTAGTTGTGTTTTACATGTAACTTGTGGTTCCAGATGGAGATGTGCTTCTAGAGAGACATTCATTATGTGCACTGGTACCTGGTTATGCATCTGCGTCCACATCAGATGTTTGCATGGAGATATTCACTATTGGCCTAGGGCTACTAAAGAGTGAGTAACTGAAAGTGAAAGGAAATGTGACTGAATGTGAAAAAAAATGAATGAGTATACTTGAAGGACTTCAGTACAAATCACTAAACATGACCAGTGCTTACAATTTAACAAAGAGTCAGATCAACAACTAAGGTACAATAGGTTTTATTTTTATTTCATTATAAATAGAGATGTACAGATGAAGGCCAATACTGAGGTTCCTTCCCAGGAGCCTGTCACAGTAAACTCTTGCCCATTTGAACCCACAGTTAACTTTTTCTGCCAGCATCCTTCAACATAGACGTGGACTTCTGAAGACCAATTCGGACAACTTCACACCATTCACCCAGCAGCTGAAGCCGGCAGCTGTAGAAGCAGCAACAGTAGACACAGCACACAGAAAACAGGATTAAGAAGCGTCCCTAAATGCAATTGTGTCTAACAAGGTACAAAGTCCCAAATGATCATTGTGCTATAAAAAATATTACACTTCATAAAACCAAGTTTGTTTTTTAAAAAAGTTACCCTGGTACATATAATAAATGTCTGTACACTGCAGCCCCTTTCAAACATGAAACGTTGAAGCATGGACATTTCAAACCAAACAGTTCACAAACATGGAGGTGGAGTTGGTAAATAAAATACTGCACCGCTATCTAGAAAAGCTATTCCATACCCACAAACCACAAAATGAACCGTTTACAGCTCCATAACTTCATGTGTGGGGCAAGGAGGAGGAAAATGGAAAAGGTGGTGGCAAAGATAGAGAGAAATGGGATGCCCTGCCCACTTTTGGTTCTGCCCCTACCCACCCCTGGCACATTGTCCCTAACAGATTTCCCCTGAGGAAATGTGGCCTCTGACAAAAAAAAGGTTCCTCACTTAGGTTCCTTAGACTCATAAAGTGTCCAATTGTTTCCTGCAGATCAGGTTTTGCACCTGTTTGATGGGTTCAGTCTTTAAGGCATTGCACAAGTCTATTTAACAGGAGAGTGCAAAGGTAATGTGCCTAACATGCAGAACCTCTGGATCACCTGCTACAACTACTATAGTGGCTTTAGTGATTTCAGCTTTTTAGTCTTCCTGGGTAACGTATTTCTCTGAATCATGACACACCCTTTCATCCCTGACCAGCTCTTCAAAACCCTCAGGGGAAGACAGTGGCGTAGCGTGGGTTGTCAGCACCCGGGGCAAGGCAAGTAATTTGCGCCCCCTAGAGTGAGTGAGCCAGGTAGGGGCAGAGAGCTGCGAGTGCGAGCGTGCCCCCCCCCAGATGTTGTGCCCGGTGCGGCCGGCCCCCCCTGCACCCCCCACGCTACGCCACTGGGGGAAGATGTTCTGAAGAACTGGATCTATGTTCCCACCAGTTTGTCTTCATGATTTCATGAACAGCACTAGAGAGCACGGGAGCAAACCAAACATTTGGTTTCAAACAGCCTTTTAGAGAGGGAACCAAAAAGGCAGCCTTCCTGCTATGACAGTTCTTCTGTGTAGGGTTTTGTCAAAACAAGCCTCAACCATTCCTCTTAGTCTTACTTTCTTTGACACTGATCCCAGAGTGGTGTGTATGTTTGCCCTCTCATGAGGTGCAGGCTGCGGATTCTGTGGTTATTTCAGTTGCACTATACAAGCAACTAGCAACTAGGAGGTGCTGGGGAGTCTATTATTAAACCAGGTGAATCATGGTCTTGGATACCCTGTGGCACTAGGAGTACTGCTGAGAATTAATATACTGATGGTGTCTCTGCACAGGTTCCAGATGACTAGTACACCACTGTCTCTGGGTGTTTTGGACTGCATTAGCCCCAACCAGTGATCTTTTCAAAGCCAAGCAATTATTTGCACCTGAACAGCACATATGCAAGACAAGTGAAAGCCACTGGTTGTTTCATTCTCATTAGGAAAAGGCCTGAATTTGCAGTGTGTCTATATTCTGAGGAAGAAGCAAACTGCATTAATCAAAGACAAAACCCACAGCTCCATATCTGTGCTTGAAACAATTGTAACGTTAGGAGACTTTTTAGTGTGTTTGAGCACCTGAGAACAGAGGGATTCAGTCACCCCAAATAGCAAGTGGCCTCATGGTGTTACGCAATGATGCAAGCAGTTCTATGCAATTCTCACTTCATACACACACACACATGGGTTTACAAGGGCATTTTCCAAGGTGAAACATAGATATACTTAGAAACATAGAACTGTAAAGTTGGAAGGTACCATGAGGGCCATCTAGTCCAACCCCCTGCAATGCAGGAATCCTTTGCCCAACGTGGGGCTCAAACCCACGACCCTGAGATTAAGAATCTTATGCTTTACTGGCTGAGCTTTCCCGCATGAGAAACATAATTCAGATATATGGTAGCAATGGCAGTTGGAAAATAGGAAGCTGCCTTATACTGGGTCAGGTCACTAACTGGGTCCATCTAAGTCAATATTGACTGGCAGTGGCTCTCCAGGGTTAAAGACAGGGGCCCTTTCCAGACCTACCTGGAAATGACAGGGAAGGAAACCGGGATCTTTTTGCATGCAAAGTATGTGCTCTTCCATTAAGCTATTGTCCTTTTCTGGCAACTGGAGTACCAGTGAAGTGCATTAGATGAAACACAGATTTGGAAATGACTGAAAAAGCACATCAGATGCAATGCTTCTCTAAATCCAATGGGACGAGAGAGTACAAGGTTAAAATTAATCTGTGGCACATAATATAGTACAAAATTAATTTGTGGCACATAATATATTCCCCTGGGAAAAAGCACCCAAGCACCATGATTCTGTGAAGGAGCAACATGCAATTTCAGTTATTTCTAAATGTGTGCATTGCATATAATGCACATTACAGTTGTACCTTGGATCCCAGAAGCTGTGCCTTGGTTTTCGAATGTTTTGGAAGTCAAATGGACTTCCAGAATGGATTCCATTCGACTTCCGAGGTATGACTGTACAGTACTTATACTCCTACTGCCATTATCACCATAGATGTGAATCATCACCATGCAGACTCTACAAGTGGGATGCAACATCTCCTGTGGTATCTATGGGTAGAAAGGGCAATATTTACACACAGTCAGCAGTCACTTATGGACTGGACTAATGTACCCTTGGTTGAGTAGGGTTATGATATCAGTAAGTCCAAGAAATAGTGAAATTGCACTCTGATTGTTAGGAAATAGCCAGGGCTCTTGATGATTTTGGGTGCACTGGGCTCTTCTATTTAAAGGAGCAAGCAAGGGCAAAAGTGAACACAACAGAAAAACAGGTACACATGTTCAAGATTTCAAAAATCTACAATACACCTATCGCCTGTCAAGCCTGAGCCAAAACCTTCATTTTATGGAGTTTCACAGCATTGTTTTATTCTAAAAGTCACACTTCAAGAACAGCTTCTCCGCTGCCGTCCTGTGTGCGCAGCACATAGAAATGAAACATTAAATATAATTTTAAAATTAAGGACAAAATAGAATAAAATAAATTACATGACGTTTTGTCACACAGAAACAGACCCTAAGGAGCACATTACAGTAGCTAATGCAACAAATCTGTTCTCTTGCATCTGCAGGCACAATTGACACCAATCTCCCAAGCTGTGTTTAGTATTGGTATGGCTTCACCAGTCAGCAAAATAAATGTAATCTATAGGACGGCGTTTCCATGTGCTGCTCTGGTTCACCGGAAGCGGCTTAGTCATGCTGGCCACATGACCTGGAAGCTGTCTGCAGACAAATGGCAGCTCCCTCGGCCTATAGAGCAAGATGAGCACGCTACCCCAGAGTTGTCCACGACTGGACCTAACGGTCAGGGGTACCTTTACCTTTATAGGATACAATCTTCTGTCTTCACGTTCCTCCCCCCCCCCCATAAGAGGAAACTAGAGACAATGTAGCATGCTGGTTTTTCCTGCAGAGTTTTGAAAGGTGGCGAAATCCATTATAAAAATGCAAGTCAAGTAAAGTGCTTAAAATAATGGCCGCAATACAACTCAGAATCATAAAGGTGCTAAACCCAATATTTCAAAGGGCTTAAACATGCTTAAGTCTGTTTTGGGTTGTGGCCAATGAGTGCAATCCAGAGTAATTGACCAACATAGCACTTGCCACTGATGTCAGCGGGAGGTGGAACATGTCCATTCTTGTCAATCACTTTATGCACAACACAATCCAATACAGTCAGGGAATGTTAGTCCAACATCACCTGTTTCCACTGATGTTGGAAAAATATTGTAGATTTTTTTCTCACTGAAATTTCTCCACTGACAGTTTCTTTCTCTTCTGCTTGTAAGAGAGTAGGTTATTTTGTCATGTAACTAATCATGTGGCATTATGAGCCATTATTTTAAATGGAACAGGCAAACAAAAGATCACCGTCTCCATGATAAAAGTAGGAGAGTTTGTAACACAGCATAGCATACTTAGAAAGCACTATTCTTGCATTCATTCATCCACACAGAGGGAGACTAGGTCATGCCTACTGCCCCACCAAAACCTCCACACACTCAAAGTTCTATTTGCACAGAGCCTCCACATATAGGCCTAGGGTGCCATAAGGTCCTGTATCCATGATCCATACCCTCAGTTTATCCAAGCATAGATAGTTGATTGATTAATTAATTAATATAAGAATGGATGTCCAGAGCAAATGTCCTTGAATGTGTGGCTATCAGCATCAGCGGGTGCAACCACAATCTCTCCCCTCCCCCCATGCATTATTTGCTGTACAGACCAAACACATGAAGGGTGCTTTTTGAGAAGTACAGCAAGCACTATTCAGCCAGCTCTTCTTTCTTCATGTTAAATACCGTTCTTAGTAGGCCATTGATTTCACAGCATCACATGCCTCTTCCTTTCACATTCAGCTCTTTGGAGATGAACTCTGCTGCAGCTGATAATGGGTAGCAGGATCAATTGCTAGCTGCGACAATTCACCATGACACAAATGCTGGTAGAATTGACCCCTAAAACCAAAGCGACTTGTTTCTCTACTGAAAATTGCTTACAAAAAGTGGTCTTACAGAGCATCTAAAAGATCCCAAAAATAACATTTGGAGAAAATGAGAATAGGATCTTAGCAGTATACACTTAAATAAGAAGCAGTACAGCAGTTGAAAAATTGGCACATGACATCTTTGAGTACCTGCTAACTCAGGATCTTGGCATTAACTTAAAAAACAAAAGCGACAAAAGGAATCGGAAAGCAAAGGATATCTTTGCCTTATGCTGGAGTTCTGCTAATTTTAGCAATTTATGTGCCAATAGTCCAAAGTCCTGCAAAATTAGCAATACAGATCAGCCTCTCTGAGCAACATGCGGCGCATGTTTTCCCTTTTTAAACCAGGCATTCTTTGGGACCACTACAACCTCGTTGAGGTCAGTCTTTTCATCCCCCTCCGCTGGGCCAGGTTGGAGGACAATACAGGTTCCAGCCTTGGTGCCTGAGGTGTTCGGTTTAAAGCAAAGTAGGTGGCTGCCATTGCTCCCTGCAAAATAAAAATTGAGACCATGCAGATTTAAGAACAATGCCTGCTTTCACTCTTCAGTCCCACTCCCCACTCCCAATTTAAAGAAGATGGGGTATCTGCATCAAGACATTATAGCAAAGGGAGCTTCTCCCAATTACTGCTTCCTTACTTTCTGAAGCAGGAGCCTATATTCTTCAACCGCTAAGGCTAGTTTTGATTGTGGGACTCAGCTGAGTCATTAGTTATATATCACACTGTGGATTATCATGCACATGGTTGCTTATGTTCATATGCAGCAAAAGTGCACATTGAAGAAGGAGTACATGTTTGTTGGCTCGTGTGTGTGTGGCTACACATAGGTGAAGAATGAGGATTTCAAAAAGATCCATCAGATCTTTCCGATCCCACCCAGAAAAAAATGTAGCTATACATGTGTATGTGCAACTCCTCTTCTACCAGTCCTTTATACTAATTGACAGATGGGGACTAGGATTTGGGAAGGAGGCAGGAGGAATCTAGGGCCCTGTCAGAGCCTCATGCCTCCTTCCCAAAGCATAGTCCCTCGCTTACCCAGTTTTGGGAAGGCAGCCTAAAGGCTGGGAGGCGTCAAATGTTGCCAAGGGCCACCCCAAAAAGGTGTTGAGGGACACATGTTGGACCACACTGCTCTAGGGCCATCACTCTCCTTTTCTGTATGCAAGAATACAAAGCAGCTTCATTTGGACTTACCTTTACCAGGTGAACATCCTGTCGGCTGAGCTGATTCTGGGATAGATATTCCCCATTTACTATCCACGGGTGCCTTAGAACCAAGGCTGCTGTCAAGCGCTGATGCGGGTCTACGTGAAGCATCTTTGACACAATATCCTGTTAAAAAGAAATTAGAGGAGAAGAAAACTTGTGATTTTGTTTTCTTTTCCCCATGAGGATTTCCATTTTAAAGCCTGGGTAATGGTGGCAGTTTCAAAATATGGAATACTGGAATGGAAAATGCCACTAGGAACTCATCATCTGAGAACTGGTCCTGTGCCCCTTGAATGTAGCCACTGCAAACAAAGTTCCACGGTAGGTTGCTGGAGTGGGGTATGAGGTGGGGCAGGGAAAGACATACGGCCACAACCCCACACACCAAAACTCTCTAGGATGTTGTCTTGGAAATGTGTATGTGAAACAGCAATCTCAGTGTTGACTTTTAGGCAGGTAGAACAGGATTAGTGAGCTTACTTGGGTTGTAACACAGAATGCAACATGCACAGAAGTGGTCCTAGCCAGTTAGTGCACTCATTCCCTGCAACTAAGGGTGCTTCTAGATGATCAGCTTATTGGGGATTCATCCTGATTTGCTTGTGGAGAGGTGTGTCAAGCAGGGACGCGGACTTATAAAAAATATTGGGGGGGGGCCCGGGAAAGCTCATGAATAATAAATAAGCTCATGAATATGCAAATAAAGTGGCGCCGCCTCCTCGTGAGCGAATAGGGGAGAGCGTGCTGCGCCTATTAATCAGCTCCAAAGGAAATTGGGTGGAGCTTTTGCTCGGGAGGGAGGGCAGGAGGCATGCAGCCCGCCCCTCCCTGTGCATTTTGGGCTGGGGGAGGGGCGGCGATGGCGCTCTGCTGGAGGGGCGCCGGAGATTATTGGGGGGGCGGAGCCCCCCCAAACGAATTTTTGAGGGGGCTCGGGCCCCCTCAAGCCCCATGGAGTCGGCGCCTATGGTGTCAAGCAACTGTTACTCCACACTTTCCATTGCTTCCCTTTTTGCAAATAGTCCAATCTTTTGGGGAAGCAGGTTTTCAGCATAAGACTTCCCAACCTACTGTAATTAGGCAACGTAATTAGACAGTTGAAACAGTCTCCTTTTCTCATGTACTAAGGATTGGGATGGGTGAATCCCAATCCCTACATCTGGTCCATGTTACCTTCACATTCATTCACCCATAAGTCCATTCTATCCGTTTCTGTTTTAATCTATGGTTTTAAAAACAAATACAAAAAATTGTATGGAAGTAGACATTTCTAAATAACTTTTCTTTCAAAATATGTGTCTGAAAACAATTTTGATATGTTTTTGAGCCACAAACAGCCTTGGAGGCCAACCTAAAAATATGTTATCTGCTTACCTTAGCAGCATCAGATATTGAATCCCAGTTTCCTCCTGTAAGTGCATACTTTCCACTGCCAATTCTGGCCAGAATCTCCTCTGGGGTATCATCTGGCCCATTTGCAAAAGGAGTGAATCTGTTGAGCCACAAGCGGGTATTTTAAAGAGGTGTTTGCACAATGCAGAGTTACCAGAGCATAATAATAGGTTCGGCTTGTATAAAACTTTTAATGAGGCCTCACCCTCTGAAGAAATAACAGCATTATTGATGAAAATGATTAACAGAATTAACTAAAGTAGCAACACCAATTGTGAGATGAGGCCCTTCATTTTCATGGACACAACTGTACGACACCTCTTTTGAACTGTGTCAGTCATAACAAAACATCATCCAGAGGGGGGGGGTGTTCCTCCCTCCAAAATGTCCCCCTTTATTTATCTTCCTTGCAAATGGAGAATGTTTTGGTTAATTTTTTATTTTATTTTTAAAAAACCTAAGTAGTAAGGAGCTAACCCCTTAGCAGGACAAATAATTGAGATCTAGCACAATGGGGTGGAGTGGGGGTGAATCTGCATACACACTATACTTTAAAAGCATATTCAAAGCATATCCCCCCACCTCAATAATGCTGGGATTGGTACACCCCTTACAGAGCTACAGTTCCCAGCACCTTAATAAGCTACAGTTCCCAGGATTCTCTGAGGGGGAAATGTACTTTGAATGTATAGTTTAGCATGTGGCCTGAGACTTAGGAAAGTGTCAACTTTTATTTTTAAAGCAAAAAAGAAGGCAGAACAAGACCTCATTTTAGAAGCTGAAATAGATGAGATGCTTGTCATGCAATTAGCAATTGTGTGAATTGCTTTTTACAAGTAAATGGCAGTGTGGGATCCCTGTTTCAGCATGGGACCCTGTTGAGGACAAGGTGCTTTAACCCTGCTCTGGATTGAGCTCCCAATTTGGATTGGGTCACCGTTGCTTGCAATTTACTTTTAAAAAGTCATTCATACAATTGCTGTTTACAAGGAAGGCATCCCATTTGTTCAGCAGACTTTGTGTAAAATCCCAATTTTGATTGTTCTTTGCAATAAATAACAGCAAAAAGGAGCTCCTTGGGTGATGCTTGGCACTGGTTACCTCCAGGGGGAAACTTGGCTGCCACTGAAGTAGCCCATGGAGAAGACTTCCAACTTGTGCAAAGATACTAGGAAGGCCTTGCACCTACCCTGCTAACATGGTGTACAACAGAATCCCTAAGCTCCAGATATCACAGGCTGCATCATAGCCTTGCCGTTTCAGGACCTGTGGAAAGGAGAACAGAAGTAGAAGAACGAGGTTATAAAACTCTTTTTGGAACTGCCAAGAAATTTATGATAGTGGCTTGTTCACATTTGCTTGAACTTGTTGGAAAGAGTGGTCGTCTTGGACAGGGAAATAATTGTACAAGGAGATCTAACAATGCAAGTTGAGGAAATAAACTACAGTCGTACCTTGGATCCTGAACACCTTGCAAGACGAACGTTTTGGCTCCTGAACGCCGCAAACCCGGAAGTGAGTGTTCTGGTTTGTGAACGTTCTTTGGAACCTGAACGTCTGATGTGGCTTCTGCGGCTTTCGATTGGCTGCAGGAGCGTCCTGCAGCCAACCAGAAGCCGCACTTTGGTTTCCAAATGTTTTGGAAGCCAAACGGACTTCCAGAACAGAAAGAGGTATGACTGTATTTCATTACACAGTCTGGTTTTGTCACTATGTATTCTTGACTCCTGCATCCTCAAAAGGGAGAATACACCAAAGGAGGGAGAAAACTGATGCCAGTGATGGCCAACTCATAGCAGAGAACTAGGGTCTCCACCTGAAGAATGCAGCCCTGAAGACTGCAGCAGTATATTCAATGAATGGTTGTTTCTGCCCATAGGAATAAGAATTAGGTTTTCAAAAGTGATAGAGCAATTGCACAATTTAAGGCTACATGCTTCTTTTTATTTCATCACTTGGGCCTTAGTGTTTGATGGTGCTGTTGGGTGGTTGATTTGTGCAAAACAAACAAACAAAACCTGCCCCACTTCCAGACCACTATCCAGAGAATAGATTTGTCCCTTACAACACCAAATTTTGATCAGTTGATCATAAACAAAGGATCCATAGCATTTAGAGCATGGCATCTTCCCAGAAGCTTATTTAAATCTGTTTCACACATGGCTTTATTCTTACAGAACGGTTATCACTACCATACAAAATAAGCATATATGTTATGCATGTGTGCACTGTCATGAGGCTTCATTGAGAAGTTCAATTCAGTTCACATTTAAAGCTGAATTTATTAAATTCACACTTTCCAAAGCAACATGAGAACTGAAATACAGTCATCCTTCCAAATTCACACTTATTTGAATTTTGTGATGCAGTGATTCAACTGAGCGTTTACAAAATGCATGTTAGGGAGAAGTGAGAATAAAAATGGATATACTAGGAAAAATAGCATTCAAATAACAGTAAAAATGCATTCTATTAGGAGAAATTGTTTGCAAAAATGTGTACATTAGTCAAAACTGCAAACAAACATGGATTTATTAAGAGAAATTTGCTGAATAATTTTCATGAGGGTTGTTTTTAAAAGAATAAAAATAAATTGTAAGTTGCTGAAGTAATGTGGAAAATTGAATTTATTATTGGGAAAATGAGAAACAGAGAATGAAAACTGACAGCTCCTTCCATCCCTAACTGTCACATATGATGAATGTGTGTGTCTTGTTGTGCCACAGAGGCAGTTGTTCATTCCCATATTTGTTCCAAACAAATCAAGTTTTCAACATGTAACCAACTATAACATTATGCAGACAATTACTTTTAACAGTTAATGATGAAATACTGTTTTTCAAGAATTAGTTTCATTGATCAGAAATGTGTTTAATGTTTCAGAAATAAATTGCTATGACTACATGTAAAGTCACTATGGATTTTGAAACAAAGCAATAGTATGGTTTTGGCTTTTATTATATACTGATAGCATGAAACTGCCTGTGGGAGTCCTAATCATATAAGCTAGAATGGTTATTATCAAATGAGACTTTGAGACTGAAAATACAGCACAGCATGTAGCTGCATGTTTGATGATTACACATAAAATTCTCCCTATGCTGGGCCAAAACCTAAAAAGTATGGTGAGTGCTTCCTGGCACTAGATCTGGAATGTCTTCCCCAGCAGCCTATAAGACCACAGATAAGCCCACCTAGGCTTGGATGAAAACTGGAAAATAAAATAATTTACACACTGACATGAGATTAACAGCCTTTGTGATTCATGGTTTGTTTTCCTGCATTTGTTCCCACTAGATGGCAGGCCAATTCCTCCCCTCAGATATCCTTAACAATCCACAATAGTTCATGTTGTAATTATTACATTGCCGTCTACTAAAAGAAAATCAATGGTTTCCAAGTAAAACAGAGAAGACTAATGTAAGCAGACATGTTATTTCGCCTTTGCCGTTCCCTCTGGCTGCTTTCCTAACATTCAATTTAATTGGACAAATGTTTCAGTGGCAAGGGAGTCTGGGATCAGAGCGAAGTTGGAGGTGAACTTCAGGATATTAGAGAAGAAAATGTTTCAAAAGCTGCTTGCCAAAACTGCTGTGGCATTTCTTACAAAGAGCAAAAGGGGAAAAGGGGTCTAACTCTTCCTCTAACAGTTTTTTGCACCCTGAACCTTCATCCAGCCGATTTACACCACTCCACCCCACATCCTGGTTTGCATGTTTGCCAGGCAAGAGCCCTGAGTCCTGTGGAATGCCACATGCAGACTCCCATGGGTTTGAGCTTGCCTTTTCACATGTCACCTTCTGAGACAAATCAGGCAAAAAGCAATAAAACCGTCAGAAAATATGATGCTCAAGGAAAATGGCATGGACTATAGTATCAAAAGCAACTGAGAGGCCAGTCTAAAGCTTCTTTTGCCTCTCCAACCATGATGTAAATATGGGATATGATGTTACAGTTGCTGGAACAGGGATCACTCTGCTATGTACCTCAGGTGCTACAAAATTGGCTGTATAACATGGTGTCATTAACAGGCCATTCTCAGCTCTCAGTTGTTTGGCAAATCCAAAATCACAGATCCTGATGGAGTCAGGGTTACCTGACTCATCCATGTAAAGAATATTACTAGGTTTCAGATCTCGGTGAACAACCTGCAAAGAAAGGAAAAACTGTTATATAAAGTGAAGTAGCTGTTGCAACGATAAATGTCAAATTTGGTTTGTGTTGGCAGCTGGAAATTCTCAAGATTTACCATTTGAAGTTTGTTTTGGCATTTGGTGTCATGCCTTGCTAATGCTAACATTTACCAAATGATAATGTACATAGAGTTGCATTTTAGTCGTAAACCAAATAAATTTGATAATTCTTTTCTATTTACCTCTGGTCTTCTGAAATGTTACAAATTTTCACTAAATAGTATTCACTAAATTAGTATTCACAAAGAACACACACACAGGGCCATTTGATTTCAGATTGGCTATGTTGTCTGCCTCCTCTTCCCATAGGGTTAAATATATGCCCCCCCCCACCATATAAAATAGTGAGGCAAGTCCAGATATAAATGTTTGTGATATTATACCCTGTGGGTTTAAGGAAAGTAATAAGGATTAGCTCTTTGGTATGGAAGGTACTATCCAAGTGTGATATCTTTGATATGGCATTCCTTATTCTACAGGCATGTTCTTCAATTGTAAATTAGTAACTTACAAGTTTATGCACATTTTGGAATCCATTTAGGGTAATGCCCAAATAAGAAATAAAATAAAGATAACATTTTTAGAAAGCAGAAGAAATTGTACTTACTCCCTGGGAATGCAAATAGTTGACTGTCTTGGTAATGGTACAAAGGACAGCACTGGCCTCTCGTTCTGAGAAGCACTTCTGCCGAAGTATTCGATCTAAGAGTTCCCCTCCTCGCATCAGCTCCATCACAAGGTATACATATTTCCCATCATCATAGACCTATACGCGCAGAGAAGCAATCAGGTGTGTGATTCAAAATTCTCCATCCATCCATTTATTTATTTCATTTATTGCCCTTCCCCCCTAAGGATGTAAATGTCATGTGGGCACTGTCTTAATGTTCCAGCACAAGGTTTTACCAGAAGATAATGGAAGCTAACGTAGCTGAATAGGAAACATTAGATGGAGGAGATTCCTCTTTCACTTGATGCTTGGCGGTGGTGTTTAGAGAAGGTCCTCCTAAAACCCAACCTCCCAATGGCAGCATTTTTAAATAAATAAATAATCATCATAACATGCGTGAATCCATAGTGAAAAAATAGAATTAAAGTGCTGATTGTAACAGGAGAAAGCAGCAACACTATAAAGCACATTAAAGGTAAAGGTAAACGGACCTCTGACCATTAGGTCCAGTCGTGGATGACTCGGGGGTTGTGGCATTCGTCTCGCTTTACTGGCCGAGGGAGCTGGCGTACAGCTTCTGGGTCATGTGGCCAGCATGACTAAGCCGCTTCTGGTGAACCAGAGCACTGCACGGAAACGCCGTTTACTTTTCCATCGGAGCAGTACCTATTTATGTACTTGCACTGCATGCTTTCGAACTGCTAGGTTGGCAGGAGCAGGGACCGACCAATGGGAGCTCACCCCATTGAAGGGTTTCAAACCACCGACCTTCTGATTGGCAAGCCCTAGGCTCTGTGGTTTAACCCACAGAGCCACCCGTGTCCCTTAAAGCACATTAGCCTCTGGGGGAAAAAAGATGGTGGAAAACCTTTTTTTTACGAAAGGGAGTATATAAACCAGGGGTCTGCAACCCGCGGCTCCGGAGCCGCATGTGGCTCTTTTACACCTTTACTGTGGCTCCGGGGCAGATACTAGCGAGGGGAGGAGGCGCATTGTGTGCCCCGACACTCCCCACTGTGGTGGGCGCTGTACTGGCTGTGATGTCACATGGGGGCGGTGCGTGCGTTAGTCACGCACCATCCCGACGTCACCTTCCCGCCCGCTGTCAGATTGGACATTAAGTTAAGAAACAATATATGCAGTGTTATATTTGTTTTAAATGTCGCAATGGTTTTGTGGCTCCCAGTTTTTTTTCTTCAGAAACGGGTCAAAGTGGCTCTTTTTGTCTTAAAGGTTGCAGACCCCTGATATAAACCAATCCCATCTATAATAATCACAATACATACTCCCAATGGCAATATGTTGGGTGGATAATTTAAAGAGAGAACTAGTGTCCAGTTCTAGGCTCTACCTGACTGATGGTTGTATAGAATGGTTGCCCTGCCCCTTCCTGCTTGCTGGAAAGATGCTGCATATCCCCTCCATCATTTGGAGATATAAATATACGTGATTAACTTGGTGGGAAACAGTAGCAGAAGTAGCCTCCAAAGCACATAGCCCATTCTGCTTCTCCCTATTGCACATTGGTGAAGAAGCCACTTGTTTCTTCTTTAGACTCCTCAGGAACCTACCATGTTGATGTTTGCAAGATAGTAGTAACTAAGTGCAGTCAGAAATCTCGACAACACATTGCTGATTGTCTAGTTTGACCGTTGTGGTCTGGTTATTTTCAAACCACCTAGAAGCTCCATGTGAACATCAAAGTCCTTGCATCTCAGAGTTCCTGATTTTATTTATTTAAACCTTTACTTTATGGCCTCTCCCCTGGAATCTAGTGTAACTGAGTCACCAGTAAAACAAAAGTTATTTTCCTACAAGTAACATGAATACATTTAACCAAACTCAAATCTCCACTGAGTCATATATGCACAAAATGTAGCTGGAATTGGCTTCACACCACTGTCTACAACCAGCTGTTCATATTTTTCTGTGGATCAGTTTGGTGACTTGAGAGACCACTTACATCTTTAAGAGTGATGATGTTTGGGTGCTGTCCATATCTCAGAAGAATCTCAATTTCTTCAGAGGGGTCCCTTTTGCTTTTATCAATGATCTAGAAGAAAAGGATTCAATGGTAATTAGGTGTTGTATTCAAGTGAAGGTGTAGCTAACATTCATAAGACTCCTTTGTGTGTTTACTCAAAAGAAGAGCTTCAAAGAAATGGAGACATACAGTGCATCAGCACACTAAAATTTCAATTAGCAATAACTGAGCCTCGGATTAACCTCATTGGTTACAATGCTGCCACGGACTCATTGAGATGCATCAACGCATTGGTTAAGCGGAATAACTAAAAACAGCAAAATGTAAAGGGGGGAGGAAATCTTCGTAGCTACTAACAACAAATAGATGTCAATTGTACAGGTGAAACATAGAGAAAGAGGTGGCGGGTTACGTTGCTTAAACTATTCTATTCGGTACAACATGTGTTGGGATACAATGGTTTGCTTCCAATAAACCACAAATTGAACTCCACTCCTGAAGCAAGATTTCCCCACTATATACCCCACCCTCCACCCAAATGGTGTGGGATAGGGTACTGGGGCAGCGAATGGAGAGGAGAAATTATGGTGGAGTCCGTTATAGGAGTAGAAGTGCCTAGATTGTGACAAGGTCCTTTTGGATCCAGCCTTGTATTTTTAGGGCATATGTGTGGGATGCAAGATACTATCCACAGTGAAATGCATTGGGGGGGGGTATAAAGAATTCATTTGTAAATTTTGTGCGTCATTTCATATTCAAGTCACTCTGTAAGAAAGAGCAGATCCACTAACTATGTGTCATATAAATATAAAGTCCAAGGATGGGAAGAGCATTAACAGCCATACAATGCAGGAATTTTAAAGTGGCAGTTTTGTCTAAAATTAATCAATCTGTAATATTAATACTGAGTAAAAATACTGGAGGTCTTTGCTGCTATGAAATACATGGGGTTCAATTTAAATACCTCTCCTGAAAATAAGTCTTTGTGTGGTTTTTAATCTGCTTTTGTTGTTTTTTCTGATGCCAAATTACCACTGTTGTAAGAAAATTACTACGGTATTGCTAGCATTATTTTAAAAGAACATGGCATAATTCTATTTCCCCCCTCAGATGAGAGGTATTATGATTTTAACTGTTTCTAGGGGATCTTTTCTTTTTTTTGCACAGTTAAGCTTGATTAGCTTCAGCAATTCATTCGTGCTATAATTAACTTTTCCATAACATTGGAATAATCACTATTTTGGAAAGAGATAAAAGAGAAACACACACACACACACACTTTGAGCAGCATGGCCATTAGTACAGAGTGTGCCACAATATCTGCAGGCACTATTGGTTCAGTCACTTCCACTATTCATTGACTCAGCATTCATAACACAAGCCTTCAATTGTACTGCTATTAGCACTCTCGGCATTTGAACATTAAGCCCTTTAATTAAGCAATTCACAAAGCATCTATCAGTTGGGCTAAATTAACTCTTATGATAAACTTGGATCCCAGATAGTGCAATATACCATAATGCCATTATACAAATCTATGGTGAGACCACTTTTGGAATACTGTGTCCAGTTCTGGTCACCTCACCTCAAAAAGGATATTATAGAGTTGGAAAAGGTTCAGAATAGGGAGACCAAAATGATCAAGGGGATAGAGAGCAATTCCACTGTGAGGAAAAGCCTGATAAGCAGCATCTCTGTGCTTCAAGTTAAAGACCTTGGCAGGGTTATACCACTGCAGGTGGTCCATTAAATACTACTGAATAATACCAAATAAAATATGTAGGGAAAACAATATGCAAACAGCCTTAGATGCATGCAAATGCAAATGCAAATTAGTTGTGGCTTTCCATGATATATTTCAACTGAGGCTTTCAGTGCTAAGCAAGTTTCCCACCTCTGAATCAACAAAATATAGCAGTGGTAGAAGAAGACTCAGCTATAAGAAAAGAAAAGAAAAAGATACAAATTCATGAGCACAAGAAATACAAAGGCATACAGGAACTGGAAACCCAGTATGTACATGTTTGAAGATGTAATATTATTTGCTGGTTGTTACATCATTGCTTCTTTGCAAATGATTCTGCTAACAGTGAATGGATAAAGTTTCCCTGAGAATGAGTGTGAAAGTTCCAAATGTGTATATGATCACTTGTTTATAATAAATTTCTTCTTCTTGCCTCAAACCATTAAAATTCTGCAGATGACAGCGTGACAAGGTGATGTCTTACCTTCACGGCAAACTCTGCTTCTGTGGATTTGTGTACACACCTCTTGCATACTGAGTAAGAGCCAACACCAATGTCCTCCTTGATTTCATAACCATCTGTAAAGTGAATATTGTTCCCATGTAACTGCTATAGAGGAAAACAAAACGATAGCATAAGAAGGCAGGTCTTATGGCAGTATCCAACAGAAGACCAAACAGAGCTGAAAACTAAAAGCCGCAGCAGAACTCAGTTCTTAATTTATGCCAGTCCAGTTAAAACTATGACCCTTTGCACACTCACTTGAAATTAATCCCACTGAGCTGAATTCTCAGTGGGATTTTCTTCTAAGTTAGGGATGAGGAACTCTGGATCCTCCCAATGTTGGATTTCAACTTCCATCATCCTTGACCATTGACCATGTCGGGCTGATGAGAGTTGGAGACCAACATTGGTTCCCCTCTCTGTTCTAAGCAAACATAAATGGGATTAGGCTGTAAATGATGCTATAACATTAAAAAAAAAGAGAGAGAATACATCAGTGTCATTTAAAAAAAATAATACATTGCCCTCTGGGTGTTTTAATACAAGCATCTCATTACCAGAGGAAGGAATTAAAACACGCGCATATAATAATGCATGCCTGGAAGAGTTCTACCTGGAACTATAGCAGCTACTATTACCTAGAGAAATTACCTCACTTTCAATTACAGTGGTACCTCGAGTTACAGATGCTTCAGGTTGCAGACACATTGGGTTACAAATTCCGCTAACCAGGAAGTGGTTGCTCCAGGTTAAGAACTGTGCCCCAGGATAAAAACGGAAATCGCACGCCAGCAGGAGGCCCCATTAGCGAAAGCGCACCTCAGGTTAAGAACCGTTTCAGGTTAAGAACGGACCTCTGGAACGAATTAAGTTCTTAACCCGAGGTACCACTGTACATCTAAGAAACAGAACTCAGGGCAGGGCTCTGAAGACATTTGGAGGATTGACCCTCCTGCATGAATCTAACCATCAGCTGCAAACATTGTTGGTGGCTCTGCACTGTGATCCTCTCCCAAAGCAGGTGCAATTGGTTGGGACTTTTTGGTGGTAGTGCCTTAATTGTGGAACTCCCTCACAAGAGAGATTAGACTAGCCCCTTACCTCTTGTCCTTTAGGGAAGCAATGAAGACATTTTGTTCTGCCAGGTTTTCAATACTTTTAAACTTTTTTCTAGTTATGGGTTTATCTGTTTATTGTGGTTTGAAGTGCAACGGGGCTTTTTGAGAGCTGTATATAGGAGTATATAGGAGTGGGCTTAATTTTTAATGGCTGGAGGAAACCAGTTTGTTCTTTCCCCAAAGCACCCTTGAAATCTCTTTCTTTCTTTCTTTCTCTCATATAAGTGAATTGCTGCCCTTAAATCCTATGGCACAAAACATTTGAAGACACTGCTGCGCTGCCTACTTGTCATTCTTGATGCTGAGAGGCTTGCCTGCAGGGGCATCCAATAGGTCTCTGTGCAGAACATGAAAGAGAAGCACTGAGCTTCTCAGGGGTCCTTGCAATATGCAAGTTCTCCTTCCATATAAACATCGCCTGCCATTTTTCTGGTGTTTAATAATTCTACCAAATTTGGCTAATGAAAGTGTCATTATATATTGCATACATGCAAATACATCACACTGAAGGCAGGCAAGCACCACAGCATTTCAGGTAGAAGTCTGGGTTCCTAGTGACTAAGAAGAAAACCTAACAGAGTACTGCTAGCTTCTTGAGATTGCATTTATGATTTCAACTTGCATCATGATTTCTGTCAATAGGACTATCACAATCAGGAAAATGTATACAATACTAAGGAATAGGCCTAACACTAATGTCCAGCCTGTGAAAAATATTGTGCTTTGGGCTTGTGTCTAACATTAGTAAGGGTCAACTGTGTTCACCCTGGATATTTGCAAATATGGCAGACTGCCATCAGCCTCCAGTGACCATACACACTTTCACCAGATGCAGCCTTACCTGGACAATGGGGTGAACTGTGATTTTGTGGACATCTTGCTGTGGAGGCTCCTGCACCAAGTTGGATGCAACGAAGCTGAATCCCCTGAAGAGATTATGAGCATTGGCACTTGGAGGGACGCCTGGGGAATCTGCAGAGGAGGTGAGATATGATTCAAGGGACGATTGGGGATTCCAAAGCCAATACAAAGAGAGTACAATATTTCCTTCAGGAAATTAGAGTGCTACAATGCAGGTCCTACCAATGCTGTAAAGAAACAACTCCAGATTAAAAAGTTGACCCAGCTGATAGCAGGCTACCTTAGTGGGTGCAGGACCAAATGTGTGGCACACACAGCTCTGTCTGCTCCTCACCTGTGAGCATCTCCTACCTGGGGCAGCTGCCTCACTCTGCCTGAGCATGCAAACTCTTCCCAGTCCACCTTTACATAAACATAAAGCTGTCTCTGTATTTTCAGGAGTGGCAGTGTGAACATAGTGAATGGTGGGACGAGGAGCCGAGGTACAAAATTACTTTTAGAATTGGGAGCAGCATATTGCAAGATGAGCCCATGCCAGCAACTCTCCTTTAAGCTTTAGATGCTAGAACATTGGTTATTGAACCATTTTCTTCTTTCTTCTTTCTGCTGTGCAGATTGCAGAACTGGTTTGCACCACAACAGTACACAATTGATATCCAGCTAATCCAGGCTTCCTCAAACTTGGCCCTCCAGATGTTTTGGCCTACAACTCCCATGATCCCAAGCTAGCAGGACCAGTGGTCAGGGATGATGGGAATTGTAGTCTCAAAACATCTGGAGAGCCGAGTTTGAAGAAGCCTGAGCCAATCTGTTGATTTGCACCAGTGTGGACACAAACTGAAGGTGAAAAATGATGACCAAGCAGCCATTTATTTAGGCAGTCAGTTAGCCGGGCTGGGAGATGGCAGTTTGTGGCTGTGCACACACTCTTGTTTACTCTTGCTGGTTTGGGAAGCAGTGTACACATGATGTTAACCAAAAGCCACACCTTTCCTGTCATTTTTAAATGAAATAGTACATTCTGATGTGTTTCTCCCTAAATCAGCTTCCAACTGAATCGGGGGGGAAAGAACGGAGCTGCATTTTAATCCGGTAATGTGAACCTAGCCTATGTCATCCAATCACCTGAAGACTTTACCACTCTCCCATTTCCCTGGATTTCTGAATAGATGCAGGTGTGTTGGAAATTCTTGTCCACACTACAGTTTCTGTCCATGCTAGTATTACTCCAGATTTTATAGAGCCAAACTGGTGTAGGAAAATATCACAGTATGGACTCCTTCCATGTAATCTGGTCATTTCACAAAATGCTGGAGGCATAGAAAGGAACATTGCTGCCGCAGCAACCACACTGCCAGAGAAATGCAAAAGCTCACACTAACCTGATCTCTATAACTGAGAAATTGCCTCAGGTTATAAGAGCGATGACTGACTACAGCAATTTGAGAACTCTGCAGTGAATGAGCTAATTTGGTTTTAGCTTGGGACAGAAAGGAGCCATTTCTGAGGTGCTATTACTATATGTCAGAATCTTATGCGGGGAGGAAACAGAAGATATGAATAGGGTGGGTCAAAGCATAACACTCTCTCACTCATCTGCACCCCTCGCCTTGCTGCAAATCTGGAAGGGGAAAAAAGGCTGGTGTTTTATTAGGTTTTGCTTAGAGCTCTAATATTTCCAGCGATGTGTAGTCTAGTTGCCATAGGAAGCTGTGGTGTTATAGTATATATAATGCAGGAGACACCTGTGGAAGAACAATGTATCTGTATAACTGATTATTGGGCTCTTGGAAAAGCCAGAAAATTTAAGTTACAGAGAACTAAGTCAAAACTGTATGAAAAACTATCTGGATTGGCATCCTTTCCCCCCAGGATCACCTGGTCATAATGTTCATAGAAAGTTATTTTTATTGTTTCAAAAGAGGGGTGTCTAGCTGTGGATTAAGAAAGGGGAGGAAGGCTTCTTTTAAAATATAGCTAGACATTCTGTGTCAGCATTAAATTTCATGGTTTGCATTAAGAACCTACAAGACTACCGGCCGGCCCTATCCCATGTTGTATATGTACTGGATTTGAAACTGACTTTTGCATATGAACTTGTTTTAAATGGTTTGAATATGGGATTCTTTTTACATATGGAATTGTTTTTGTTTCTACATATGGAATAAAAAAATCCTTTTATTGCTGTTGTTTTAAATGTGACATCGCTTCAAGATATTTTACGGGAAGTGATTCATAGATTGAATAAAAAAATTTCATAATGATCTTTTCCATTGATTTTGTTTATTTTATTTCTTTTGCTGCTATTCCTGGTTACCTGTTGGTGTCCGTGAAGTGAATTCAGGGTCGAAATGAAAGGTGTCCTCTGGCCGTCCCACAGCAGGTTTAAAAGGCGGCATGATTTCTTTCCTGTACAACTTCTGCAAAACAACCACCACCACAAATGATGGATTAAAATAATTGCCAACAAGATACATAAAATAACAAAAACACAGGAAGGATATATTAGGCTACAGTCCACAGATGTAGCCAGGGAGGGCAAGTAAATAAATAAAAATACTTAACTGACCAATTGTATCACAGATAACTCGGTTCTGTCTCTCCAACATAAAGCCTACCCCCAAAAAATAAATCCTGGCTACGCTCATGCTACAGTCCTATACACACTTACCTGGGAATAAGCCCTATCGAACACAATGGGCCATACTTTCAAGCATACATGCATAGGGTGGTATTGTAATACACACATTGCATCTTGTGTTTAGGAAATTATGTTCAGTGCTAAGCCTAGGAAAAGGTGGGAAGATCACCCTTGAAATATTCTATTACCTAAACATCTATTTACTCTATGCTTAGCAGTATCACACAAGTCAAATGAGGTACCGGTATTTGTGTCATAATGTGCCATGATGCAATGTATGAAAACAACCACTAAGGGGTTTCTGGGATTGTCAGCCCTGGGTGGAGTCTTGCTTTAAATGGGAACGATAACTGATTTACCTTACACAAAATTGCTGTGAGGACAAATGAGGTAAGGGTTCAAAGTGCAGCTCCTTCCACACAGAGCTGACACGTGTTTGTCTCTTTGCACAGTGCCAGGCAGATGGCCAGCTTTAACACTGCAGACTACGTACTAGAGGAGGGAAAAGGCAACGTGGAGGTCTGCAGTAAGACCTTTCACTCCTTAACAAGTGACTGGCACTGTGAAGACTGTGACAAGCAAGCAAGCAACCATCTGTTTGATGCCACATGTAATCACACTCAAGAATGTGAGGGGCTGTTTATTTGTTTATTTATATTGTGCAAGAAAAAGGCAGAGAGAAAGAGAGAGTGTCAATGGGTGATCCATGTGCAGGAAATAGATAGGCACTGCAAATCCTAATGTGGTGAATGAGGTAAAGGTAAAGGTACCCCTGCCCGTTCGGGCCAGTCTTGCCAGACTCTAGGGTTGTGCGCTCATCTCACTCTATAGGCTGGGAGCCAGCGCTGTCCGCAGACACTTCCGGGTCACGTGGCCAGTGTGACAAGCTGCATCTGGCGAGCCAGCGCAGCACACGGAACGCCGTTTACCTTCCCGCTGGTAAGCGGTCCCTATTTATCTACTTGCACCCGGAGGTGCTTTCGAACTGCTAGGTTGGCAGGCGCTGGGACCGAACGACGGGAGCGCACCCCGCCGCGGGGACTCGAACCGCCGACCATGCGATCGGCAAGTCCTAGGCGCTGAGGTTTTACCCACAGCACCACCCGTGTCCCTCTTGGGTGAATGAGGTAAGAGTTGTTTAAAAGTTGATTTTAAAAATGCTTCAAAGCAGACTTGTGAACACATATTTAAAATGGAAGAGGGGTATGGGGTGTCTGTTTATTTCTCAGAAAGTTAATTTTTTTAATTCATCTTTGATTCCAACTTCACTTGTTTGTTGTACTTATTGATATTGTTTCATATCAGGCCAATATTCCTGTCACAGTTTTCTTTGTTTTGACTAGATTCTGATGCCATTTGCAACGTTGCTTTCTCAAACTCTCTTTTACACATTTCCTCGCACAGAGCTTTGCTTCTTGCTGCTGTTGTGTGTTTCCAATAACTCTGCCCAGGACTTCAACGTAAACTTAACAGAGGACTCGTTCTCCTGGGATCCATATAATGTACCACAAAGAAGAATAAGGAAGTGACCATGAGTCACATGTTAAGCATCATTGCCATTATTTGTGAAGATATGAATGCTTTGTGTAACAGAATTTCCTTTTTAAAAATAGGTAGAAAAATGAGGGAGGCAGATGTAAACACACGTTCTATATGCATCTGGCAGTCATCATCTGGAAGGGCACTCATTTAATTGAATTAAGCATTATTTAGTCATTTCCTGCAATGAATAGCACGGTGCAGATGTTCACACAGCATAGAAATGATTGCATGGGGATGACGGCAGAAGATTCCACCTGCTGACCGTGTTCCATTCGTTAATGGAAACCTGTTCACAGAGAGCTATGCATATGTACCTTTGTCCAAATAGTGCACTGAATGAGCCATTTGTATGTTCCATGTTTGTAATGTATGTTCCATCAATCCAGAACAAATGCTTGTCCAAAGGGCTCAGGTGCACAAGTTCCAATGGGGAGAGGGGAGAGAGAACAGGCACAGCCTTATGAACCCTTCTCTAAGATTGTCCATTTCCAGACTATTTGAATGTATTCACAGAGCTAATGACTTTGATGAGAAACTGAGCTGATCTCCAGATACCTTCCAGAAATAGAAAGGCAGCACTACAGCTAGTGACGCACAGCAACGCGAAAAAGCTGCTCTGCACAGGGATGAAGGAATGATTTCCCTGAACTATTATACACTTGCTACACAGGAACATGAACACACAATCCAGTAAGTAGACACAGGGATGAATTATCTTCGGGAACATTATCGAGTCTGAACCGTTGCACTGACAAAGCGATACTGTCAGGAGATGCCAAAAAAGGGCATCACTTTAGATCTATGAATCACTTTTCCATTTCTATGTTAATAGGCACACATAGCTCATTTCTATTTTTAAATTCAGTTGATGTTTTTGATGAATATATTTCTTAGGCAGAAGAACTGGATAAAAACAAAACCCTTCTCCTTTGGAGTCTTTGCACTTGGGGGCATGACAGCCAACTGGCTTTGTTTAACGGTCAGATGAATTCATCAATGGTATCTGACCACTCTGTTTGTGAGTCTTCAGCCTCTGCTGGTCCATATACACAGAGGATGGATGACGACAAGTAATGAAGTTGTTGTAGGCAGGGTGACCTCACAAGACAAGGGGCAGCTTCAGCACATCTTAATTTTTTTAACTGGACATTTCCAAAACTTGCTTTATTCCCATAGAGGAGATGCCACAATGCAGACTCACCCTGGCTGGATGCAATTAAGGCAGAGTAATTAACAACCAGAAGTTTATTATTAGGCCAAGCTGGGGTGCATAAGGATTTGGAAGGTGGGAGAGAAACACTTGTAGCTCTAGATTTTAATGGGATTTGAGCTGGTGAGTGCAATGTCCAGTGATAATGTTGTTTTTTAAATTGTTTTAATCATTACAGTATCTTTTATATGTTTTACCCTTTTGTATTTTATCTGTGCCTTAAGTCCATGTCTGGAGAAAAGGTGGGATATAAATGTCTGTTGAGACATTCTCAAAATACAAGGTGTATATTTGTAATATTTAATAGCTATTTTTATTAAATTATTGGCTTTTTAAAATACAGAACATTTAATTAGTTGGCAGCCTTAAATACCTACTTATAATTAGTAATGGGAACTGTGGTGTGGTGTTTTTATTCCGAAACAATGCTTCCATCAAATGTGAAGGGAAAATATTATAAGAATAATGTGGCATAGGTAATTAGACTGTCTTTACTTTTCTTATTAGTATTTAATGAAAAGCAGTCTGAATACTTTGGATCATATCCAGCAGCGAATGTAAGGAAGTTTTTCTTCTCCATAAATAAAATATATCAATATTCATACCATGTGTGCTGAATGGGCAAGAGGTATAAGAAAGACTAAAAAGTGTGTGATCATGGAACAAAACTGAGCTCATTGCTGACCTTTCCCAGTAATAACAGCGATGAGAACAAAGCACCTGCATTAGCTCTATTCCTCTTCTCTAGCCACAAAGGCGTTTTCAGCAGCTGGAAGCATCATTATAAGACATCAAGGACTAGCTTCCGTTCAGAACTCATGCTGGTTCATATTCAGAAAACCATCAAGTCAAACAGACCATCTGCTGCTACTGGGCTTTTAAAAGCTACACTCAACCCCCACCCGCCCCTGAAATGTCCCTTGCAAATAGTGGCATTGCCAGTCTATGGCTAGGAAGAACAGCCTTAGACAACCAGGCTGAAATAGTAACATTAAAATCCCATGCATAATTATGTTGGGTTGAATCCAGAAAAACTATATCTGAACTATATGCTCATTATGTGGAAATTAGTCTCTCACATTTCAATTACATTTATTCATTGGTGTCTGGGGGGGGAGCAGTCCCCTTCCCAGATGATCCACAGCCCCCAGATGTGTAGCTTCTTTCATTAAAAAGTAGCTGTCTAGCAGTTGTTATAACTTGAGATTAGAAATGTAAATTTCTAAGAAATTTTGAAAACCAGGTTGGAAGAGGGGTGGAATTGGTGTTTCCCCCTGTTAGAGGTTTCAGAAAAGAACAGAATTAATTGGCAAAAATGCCATACTTTCTATTTTAAAAAAGTACTCTCTACATATTACAAGTCACTTTGTTACTTTAGGAACATAAAATACATTATGTATAACTTGGTTTACCACAGAATATATTTTTTGGTATATTAAAAGTACAGTTTACTCAAACAATGATTACAAATTGAATTATATTTTAGGCACCAGGAAAAAACACATTCCTCTTCTCATAGGCCTTTGGCTAATTAAGTAATCTATGGCCTTTTAAACTGTGTGGGTTATTGTTTTGTTTGTTGTTATGTTGAGTATTTTGTGAGTTTTATTTTGTAAACTGCCCTGTAATGCTCAGAAGAAGGGTGGTCTAGAAATTTAATAAATAAATATTTTAAGTTTTTATTACAAGTGGCATTACAAGCTGCTGAATTGTAAGGAACATAGCATATTTTTGGTTTTGCCAGTTTATGAGAAGCAGCCATAACTATCAGAAACTATCAATATTATAATAAAAAAGAATAGAAGAAATTGATAGCAGAAACTATCGATATTATAGTAAAACAATCATTACTTCTTCTAAAAATTACTGTCTTCTCCAGTCCTCCACAATGATAAGTTGACATAAAAAGAGTTGAGGAAAAGGGGAGGGGAGCAAGACTCAATGAACACTACAAGAAATTCAGTTGGTCTCTTCCTCTAAGCTAACCATTCCTGTTTTTTTATATTTGCCATCACATTTATCATGGACCTCTAAAAACCAAAGGTTTTGGCCTGATTGAAAATTCCACCCATCCACATGTCAATTTATTGCTTGATTTGATGTATTTCCAAAAATAGACCAATTTCTTTCTCATGCTGCAGAAGGTGGAGGAATCTGAAGTAGGAAAGAAGTGAAGATGAGTCAGAGATTGTGCTGTGCGAGGGCCTTGCAATGGTGTTGCAGGAGGGTTATAATTGGCAGAATCCAGACTGTGTTTCCTTGGCCAAATACCTGAAGATGTCTGTACTCTGCAACATTCTGTACTTTCCAACAACAAGCCCTAAGGGTGCTGCTTGTTTCGTAATCTAGTCAAATGCAGAAGCAGTGCTATCATCACTTACATGTCTGCCTTTAAATCTTGGACCCAACAAATTTGCAGAAGCACAGATTGGATGGAAACAAAATTATGTAGTTCTATACTAGACAAGAGGACAGAAACAGATACTCCAACCATGCCAGCAAGAGTAACGCCACAGCAAAGAAGACACTGGATCCTTTTTTTCTTCTCTTATGACAATGGCAATGCCTCCAGAGGCAGAAATATATACTGCTCTTGCTTGTCCTCAAGTGTTTTTTTTCCACCTGAATTTTGCTGTGCCCCCCCCCCCCGGCCCTTCAGATCCCTACCTGTGATATAAAGCAAAACATGCAGGCACTATTCTCATCTGTTTTATGAGAAAGAAAGAGGACTTGAGCCTTTCTGTATTTTGAGGCAATGAATGAATTGTAGCAGTGACTGACATCTACAAAAGCAGATCTAGCCTATTAGAGAAAGAGAAGTTAGAGTGATTATGTGTACTGTCTAGACAGTTTTGGCCTCTCTTAGTGGAGGAGTGATTATTGCCCCACAGAAAACAGTTCAGGTACCCAGAATTTTAGTGTAGCCAAAATTGGGCAGTAGACAGTAGGTGGATGGTGTGGGGGTCAGTGGCACTCACTTGATCTCCTGACAGCTGATTCACTGTGAAGTAGGAGAGGGGCGATGTGGTAGGGAGGTCTGTGTGGTGCAAATGCACAGGTAGGAGACAATCCAGCTGTTGAGGTTTTTTGTTTTTTGTTCAAAAGAGTTGCTCTATGCAGGATTGCATTCCTGCTTGCAAACACACTGGGGAAGCAGTGCTGGAGTCAGGTTGTTCTGAGCAAGGGAAAATCCTGGATTTGGGCTGCACATCTACGGGTAACTAGTCAGACAAGACAATCATGTGAATTACAGTACTTACATTCCAGTCTAATAGTAGCAAAAAAAGGATGCCGCTTAATTTCTTCAACTCCATCAAGGCCAGCACCTGCCAAAGCAATGAAAGAGAGATAATAAAGAGGATGTAAAATGAACATCATTTCTAACCAAGAGGACCTTCTCACTGTCTCCCCAACCCCAGCAAGAGATTTGTGGCTGGTACGGGCAAGAGAGGCGGCTTTCTGGTTGTGGTTCCAAAAACAGGCTTTCAAGTAAGGTTTGTCTGGTCCCTTCTTTGCCTCCTTTTATGTGAGCACTTAAATTCCAGCGGGCTTCTTCTTCTTCTTCTTCTTTAGTTGGGGCCGCCCAATGATGGATTTTAGTGCTGCTGTTTGTGTTCCATGGTTGCTATTTGAGGCATCAATTGTGCTAAGTTGGCCTCAGAGGAACTGTGAAACAATGCATGTCCCAAGGGGCTCTCACCAGCACAAATAGTATACAGCATTTATTTTCAGCTGTAGTACTGTACACCAGAGTTTAAAAATAACAATAATAATAGTAGTAGTAAGAGGAACAGAATCATTCTGCCCTCGCCTTCTGTTTCCTGCTAACGTAATTGACCCCTTCACTGTCCAATAACTTCTTATGCTTTAAGTTAGTGCTTTACCACTTACGTAGTGCTTGAACAGCAACATCTAATCAAAGTAATTCCTGGAAAGACTACTAGTTAAAATTCTATAGGCGGACTTGAAAAGAACAAATGGTTTTCTGTAGAAGCTGTAGTTAAATAAGTGGGCAGAGAAAGAATCACACTGGCAGGCCAAAAACGCAAATACTTTTATGAAGCGTAGGTCGCCTACGCACTCAAAGCAAGCATTTCAACCACATCATCAATCTTCCTTTATTTAACCATCTTCTGAATGTTCATTGTCAGAATCTGACCCCAGTGCTACCTGTAACAAGTGTGAATGATCATATGAAACATTTTTCAGTGCAATGCTATGGCTGAGGCAGAGACTTGCGGGATCCAGCTCCAGACACCAACTGCTGGTGCAAGGGACAACGTCCTCTTGCATCACTGATGGGACCCAAGTCCAGCCTCAGCCAGTTATGGAACACTCTGCACTGTATCTAAAGGACCCCTGGAAGGGAACTGAATCTACTATGTGGAATCAATGCAGGACCTGAGAGGATAATTGGTGGCTTTGTATGTGGAAATACATGATAGATGCACAATGAAAGCTACATGCATTTTTTTTAGATCGGTCAATGGTGGTGATAATAGCAGAAGCAGGAGCATTTGCCCGGCACTTTCAAGTATTGAAAGCACTTCACATGCATTAGCTAGTTGCAAGTCTTGGAACACCTCTAAAAGGTAAGTGAGTATTATTATCCTACATAGGAAAGGGGGAAGGATGAAGGGTAAGAGAGTTTGCCCTGCCTAAGGCCATCTAAGTTCATGGTCAAGGCAAGATTGGGATGTCTTACGATTGCACTACATTGCACTTTGTAGTATATTTCTTTTGTAGTATGTAATATGCTGTTTGGGGGCCTTAGGGTACAAAAAGGTATATAAATATACCTATACAATACTGTTAGTATGGGGGGCCAGGAAGGAATCTACATGAGCCTTAAATTCCATTGGAATATTTTCTACGTGTATCTCACTGTTTGATTAAGTTGATAAACATTCCTAGGGGGAAACACTGGGTGAATGCCTTTAAAAAGAATGAAGACATAGGCTAAGATGATGGACAGCATTAAGGATAGCTCTGTGGGATCAGTCCATCCAAGGCCAGCCTAACTGCAAAGGAATATCTTTTTACTTCAGTCTTCAGAGTGACATCCCAGAAACTTAAGCTTCCTTTCATGGCCTGTAGCAGCTGACATGCGTGCATTATGAAAAAAAAACTTTTACCTTAAAGATTATATTAGTATTTGTAGCAGCTCCAGCAAACAAAATCTGAGAGTTTCCTTCCTCCTCAGCTACATATCAATAGAAATGCAAGACCTATAGCTCAGCCAGATGGCAATCACATCAGGCTGCCAAGAATCCAGTTAACAACTGCCTGTTAGAACGCTACTGGAGAGACTGGTGGGTGTGATATCAAATGCTCTATATAGTCAGCCTTCGTCACGCCACCTCAAGCAGTTGAGCAGCTAGGGATGCAAGGCGGAGGAAAACCATCTTTCCTTTTCCTCTCCGATTTCCTTTTCGGCTCTGATTGGATCAAATTATGTACTTAATTTAGCTTTACATGTTTATTTGGAATCCAAGTCAGAAAGCTGGTAATGTAGCTTAGACACGGTAGCAGGTTTTCACATCTATCTGCACTTGCTGTCCTGTGTTCGGCTCTCTAAAAGAAATTTAATTAGATGCCATAATCCCCTGGGATGCTGCTGTCAGTGAACTCCTTAATCAACTGGGTAATTAGGTAATTTTACAAAAAATAATCCTGAGGCCAATCTTACAAGAGACAAAGGTTCACTTTTTCTTTTCCCTATAGTATTTTTTCCCCTTTTCTGCTTAAGTTTCTTGCAAGCAGTGTGTGTGTGTGTGTGTGTGTGTGTGTGTGTTGCGGCCCCTTCAAGATTAACAAATTGATTATGGCATAAGCTTATGCATAAAGAATGTGGTTAATCTTTAAAATGCCACAAGACACTGACTGTGGTGATTTTTACTGCAAGAGACTAGCACATAAAAAGAGGGCATTGAAAGTTGGTGAGAGCTGGGTAAGGTAAAGGTAAAAGTAGGTTCAGTCGTGGCCGACTCTGGGGTTGCGGCGCTCATCTCGCTTTATTAGCCGAGGGAGCCAACGTACAGCTTCCGGGTCATGTGGCCAGCATGACTAAGCCACTTCTGGCGAACCAGAGCAGCACACGGAAACGCCGTTTGCCTTCCCGCCGGAGCGGTACCTATTTATCTACTTGCACTTTGATGTGCTTTCAAACTGCTAGGTTGGCAGGAGCAGGGACCAAGCAATAGGAGCTCAACCTGTCGCTGGGATTCGAACCACTGAACTTCTGATCGGCAAGTCCTAGGCTCTGTGGTTTAACCCACAGTGCCACCCGCGTCCCTATGAGAGCTGGGTAGGGAACTTAATTGTTTCCACGCACCAGATTCTTATCAGAATCAGCCTTGCGGGCCAAGTTTTAGATGTGGGCGGGGCTACTCACCTGTCAATCATGGAATGTCACAAAGGTTCGAGGTGCTTTGAAGTCCTGAAGTTGGGACCTTTCAAGGCACTGCTAAAATAATTTTTTCCTAGGTTTTATCAGGGCTTTTATGCAAACGTCTTGGAAAATCCTGCTACTTTGACTATGTGCTCCCCTTCTGGACTGGGAACAGGCATGCACAGCCAACTCAGGATTTACCTCTGCTCTGTGACTCATTAGATGGCATCACAAGTGACATCGGCTGAAGAGTGGGTGGGTGTGGAATTAATTTGATTCAGTATTGGTCATTTGTTCAGTATTCTATAATTTTATTATTCTTTGATGTTTTAATGCTTATATTGTACATCACTGCTGTATTGTTTCTGTATGAGCTGGCTGTTTAGAAATACTCCTATAAGGAAAGAAATAACTAGCATCTGTTTCGGTATGTGTAGACAACACTTAGCTATCATGACTAATTGCCATTATTAAACCAATTCTTCAACAATTTGTGCAATCCATATTAAAAGCCCAAAACACATATTTAATTAAAGCTCCATTACCTTGCATCTCTTCCCAGCACATTGTTCAACTAGGCCATTTACATGAGAACAAATCAAAATTAAGTGACAAGGAAAACAAACTACAGATTAACATTTGATTGTAATCTATCGCTGAATTTATCACAGACCAGAAATGAAATGAATCCCCATACCTAATCTGTTGGATGGATTCCTCTTGAAAAGAGCTCGAAGCAAACTCTGAGCTTCTGTGCTCAAAAACTGTGGCATTCCTAGCTTGGCTCTGAAAGAACAGAAACTTTTAAAATGTAGGAGGACTTTTCAGAAATGTCTAAAAAGATCACACACATATTTAGCAGTGGAAATAAATACAGATGTGCAGAGGAAATATGTATGGGAAAATATATAGAGTTCCCCGAAGTAATCTTGAGGCATATTGGATAAAGAATGTTCCATAATACTGACTCTATTAAACATTTCTTTAATTCTTTCCTCATAGTCTTTACCATGCTTATTCTTCTTCACAATGGCTATGGGAAGTGTGTAATTCCCCCTTTTAAATATAAAATGGCAGGAACTCTCCCCTCCTTTGCATCTAGTCACCCTAGCAGGAATAGGAGAAAAATGGACATACGCAATAAATAATTTAATTTGGATGCCATGTTGCAGGTTGGGGTCTGATATATTTGCAGATTACTGATCTAGAGCTCCCAGCTATTTATTTTATTTACCCTACTACTAGCTCACGTATAGAAAGGGCTGTACCACAGCACAGTGGTGGGACATCTGCTTTGCATGCAGAAGGTCCCAGGTTCAATCCCCAACATCTCCAGATAGGGCTGGGAGGGACCGATCTGAAATCCTGGAGAAGTGCTGCCAATCCATATAGGCAGTACTGAAGCAGATGTGCCAATGGTCTGACTGTTCACAGATTATTTCAGAATTGGTAGGTTCGTCTTTAAATGAAAGCTGAATCAAATTTCTCCCCCGCCTCTACAGCCAAGCAAACTTTGTCTATTCCAAGCAAAGGAATACACGTTTTACGTCAACAAACAAGTTGGAGCTTACTACTCACTTGAGAATGAGAGCCATTGTCTCCTTTCTGTCTTTCCCCTGGAATGGCAACGACCCTGTCAACATTTCAAACTGTAAAAGGAGGAGAGCAGAAAGCTAAATAAAGACCTAAGTGCATAAGCATTGCAAGTAGTGGTGTGGTGATCTTGGCAGAAGTCCTGGTGATCACTGCAATTGGTGTCATAGACCCTACCTCAAAGAGCCCCCAAGGGAAGTCCAAACTCTATGGTCAGAGCCCTTAACCCCTAAATCATTTTGCCTCTTTTGTTTGCCTTCCTTCCACCCTCCCCCCCAAATTCTTTTAGTTCCCTAGTTTACGAGATGCCACTCCAAGCACGATCGGCATCATGCTAACATCTGTTCCACTTTGATTAAGGCAAATTATAATTGGATACTAAATCTAGTTTAAATAGCTCAGAGTACATCTTTCACTTACATTTTGGTAACTGAAAGCAATACAAGTGGAATTATAAGCCCCAAAGAATAGTTGTTCTACATTTGCTTTGACAGATTAAATGGTTTTTAAAAAAGCATTTCAAAATTCAAAATTCAAGGAGCATCACACAAGTTCCACAGGAATTCTATTTTTCCCCCTTATTGAAAATTAGCTCAAAATGTCACTTACTGAGTACAGCAAATAGCCTGAGTCCAATGTGGCATCTGGTGATACTAAAAGACAATGGCCCAGTTCAGACATAATGGGAAATCATTCTTCCCTGCTACAAAAATGAGTTTGCAAAAGACCTGTGCTCACTCAGTTGTGTGCTCTTCTCTACTCTGTTCCATGCCCAAGAGGAGGTGACTGAAAGCTTCTGCAAGGATTCAGGAACCTCCAGATGTTGCTGGACACCAAGTCTCATCAGCCCCAGCCAGCATGGTCAGTGGTCAGGAATAACAGGAATTCTACTCCAACAACATGTGGAGGCTCACAATTTTCACAGCCCTGATTTGAACTAACCAGAGCTTGGATGTCACAGGGAAGAACAAGATATGGAACCTGCATTTAAAGAGATACAGGCTTTGAAGTTTTTCAAGCGAGCAACATCCATGTTTTGAAAAAAAAAGTCCATGGATTACAGAAGAGGAAACAAAAGTGCTATTCTGAACAGATGAAAATCCAAAGAGAAGAAAGAAAGGTGACAAGCTGGTGTTTGACCTACACAATATATAGCAAAAGCTATTCTAGGAAATGAAATATCCTTCTTAAAAGGAGGAGCAGCTCCATTTTTCACCACAATGTGGAAACTTTTACCAGCAAAGTGTGATAGTCACCTGGCAGTGTAGGCCGATAGATAGAAAACCATCTTTTTAATGAATGTTTGAAAATTATAACCATTTTAAAAGAAAATGTCAGAACATGTCTACACAATGCTGAAGCTGGAGTTTCCATCAAGCACACAAGAGCCAATGGTCTATACTGTATAATAATTTGTTGCTGTTAGTGTAAAGAAAAACTGTTCTAGCTGTTCTAGCAAAAGCTACTGATGCAAATAAAACTAAAAGCTCCCCCTGCATCATATGCGCATAGAAGACATCTTGAAAAGAAAAAAATAGGACTATGACATCCATTTGAGCTTAACGCTGTGGATCACAAATATGCAGTGCACAAGAGGAAAGGTTTGCAGGAGTAGAAACATTCTTTCGGAAAAAAGAAAAAGGGAGATCCCCCTTCAAAAGAACCCCCACTCCAATGAGAATTGAGAATGCCAACTGACCATAGAATGCTGACAGTTGCAGGGGAGGGATAGAAAACACAGCAGGCAAGTGGGTAAAGTAAGGAGAATGGAATGGAGTGTGCTGGAAAAGAGTATGGCTGGCTAGCTAGCTGCAACCCTGACCAGAAGAATTCTACACTGCAACGTTTTGGGCGAAAGATTTATACGATCTGAGGTGAAACCAGAGTTTTGTTGCAGCACAAATTGTAACAGACTAGCCATTACAATTTTGAGAGGAGACTACAGGAGAAGAATCTGTACCTTAACTGTACCTTATATGTATGAACATTAAGGAAAGTTAGATATTGAGGGTGGGGGCAGAGTTGGCATATACATTATTTCTATTTAACATCACTAAAAAGTAGCAAATACTGCACACAATACTCTCTTTCAGTGGGGAGTACAGTCTATTAAAAAATAATCATATAACAAATTTTGTTTTCTTTTTAGTACTTTCCTCCTGTGTCCAGATAATTTAAAATCGATGGCTGTAGTTTACTCAGCTTGCTGCAAGGTACTGTCTGACACTTTCTAAGGTCACTTTGGCACAAAAATACTGACTGATACTTTTTAAGGTCACTTTACTCTGTTCTTTGAGGCTGAGGGCGCAGGAATGACTAAAAGATCCACTGGGATTCACAGAGAAGGAAGGAAGGTGAATGAAGTTCCTGCTAGGAAACAAAATACAATGGGAAGACCTGTGCACATAAGACACACAGCAGCAACTTGCAGGTGAGAGGTTAGTGCACACTACCCTTTCAGAAAGTTATTTTGTGACTTACAGATAAGAGAGAAGAAACGTAAGGCTGTACAGAGAGCATCAGCTGGACTCCCATTGTCACAAAAACTTTGCTTTGTTGCCTCATTATGACACGTTCATCTTCTTTAGAAAAAGGAAGCAGGGGAAAATAACTGTGTGAATTGGCCCTGTGACTGGTGTTTGATGGTGAATACTGGATTTTGGGAAATGTTGTTATTCTGGGTTAAATAAACCTGTGAAATGATATGTGTCCTAAAACAGACCTTCATTCTGCTGACTGCATATATAGAGGCTGTCTCCTGTAATCACCGCAGACAGAACAGAATTCAAATATAGATGTGAGCATATTCTGGGGGTTTCAGCTGACACCAAATCGCTCTTCATCAGCTCTGTCTCTTAACTTCTCCTTGGTGTCCAGGGCCAGCCCTACCATTAGGCAGAGTTAGGCAGCTGCCTCAAGCAGATGACGGTGGAGTGCCTGTGTTTGCTGCCACCACGCCCTGCCATTCTTTTTGGGCGTTCCCCTCTGTTAGAGGAGGACAAAGTTGTGTGTGGCATACAGCCAGCCCTGTGCCCTCCAAGCTAGCCTGCTTCCCATCAACATTGCCACTGTTGAAGTTCAGTTGCCAGTCTGGTTAGCTTCTTTTGTGGAATGGTGGTGGGAGACACCATCTTGTCCTTTTCCTCAGGTAACAAAATGCCTTGGGCAGGCCCTGTTGGTGTCTGTATATCTTGTAGGAGACTGAGAAGCCCCATTTTACTCCCCACACAGACAAAGAATAATATAATTGTACAGTTGGAGGGGAGCACAAGGGTCATCTGGTCCAGCCCCCTGCAATGCAGGAATCTTTTGCCTCCAGTTCCTTCAATATGAAGTTCTAATTTCAGAGTAAGTGAACAGCCACTTCATAATCCTGAGGAGACCAAGTAAGGGTTACTTAATTTCTCTCTTTCTTGACCTCTCTTTTTGCACTAATTCATCTGGCAGTATACTAAGGCTCTCCAGTTTCCTAGCAACAGCATGTTATGGATTATGAGGCTGTGCTTCTCTAATGAATAGAAGCTGCAGCAAAAACTCAACTACTTCCCTTCCCTTGGGATTGGATAATATATAAAGAAGTACAAAGAAGTGTGGACAGCCTCAGTTGAGGTGGATGCAATGGGGAAAACAGCAGACTCTCGGCTAAAGAAGGTAAAATACTAAACGCTCAGAATGAAACTGCTTCATAGCAATGATAAGTGCCTGAGATGATTTCGTTTCCCAATGCTGATATCATGGGGATGGTGAAGAAACTCAAACTCATAAATGTGCTTCTTAGAAGTAGCTTAATAATGGTTTGATAGGAAATAGCACAGCCACTGCCAAAGGGGACCAGGCTAAAGCAGTCAATCCCAAAATAAGGATTGTCTCATTACCATTAGGACACCGAAGGACCACCAGTCTGCGCTTTGAGTGTGGCCTCGCCGGTTGACCACCTCTGGGGCCATGTACTCTATTGTCCCGCAGAATGAATATGCTCTCTTGTCATGATCGATGGCTTCCTTGCTCAGGCCAAAATCTAAATAAAGGCAGATTTTAAAAAAGAAAGAAATTGAGTATGTGATATAAAGACACTTGCAGTCACTTTAAATACACCAGTCAAGACACAGAACCCGATCCAGCTCTAGTTTTTTTTAGTAAAAATTATTAGTCTCTTTTCTAGAAGAACCAAGAAATGAACAAAGGGAAAGAGAATTTAAAACCAGAAGCCACATGTAAATCTTAGAAGCTGAAATATAAATTTTATAAACTTCTTCTAAGTTTTGAGTGTTGCGCTCAGTTGGTGGCCCTGGAGGTTCAGCATTAGCAGATGCTGCCATCAAGTTAAAGTGGGCTTGGAATAGCCTTGCAATGTAAGTGGTCTGCAGTGGCAAGGAGTGAATTTTAGTAAATCTGCAATGGGAAGGAGTTCCACAACTGAGGAGCACCCCCCCAAATCCTATCCGTTTTCTGAACCTGATGCAAAATTGCTATTATTTAGGGGGCAGCTTTGCTGCATCTGAGAGATTGTTTATTTAATTTCAGTTTCTCAAAGCAGCTTACCAAGAAGAAGTAAAACAACAATGTGCTAAACTTAAAACCTAGATTAAAATATCAGAAAACAAGGCCATTAGAGGGGCATCTATTAGTTTTCATTGCAATGGATTACAAAGGAGATGGGATCTAATTAGGCTTTAAAGCTAAACCTTAAATCGTGCCAAAAGAGATCAGGAAGCCAGTGAAAGTTCAAGCATGTATCTCAGTGTCTATTCATCACCAGGAGGAAATGACAGGTAGAATGCAAAAAGATGGAGCTGCTACATGGGGTGTGGGGGATGCTACACACCTGTAATCTTAATGTGTCCTTCTTCATCTAGAAGTATGCTGGAAGATGATGCATAGAAAAGTTTAGGACAAATGGAAAACATATTAAATAAAGTCAGAAGATGCATAATTAGTGCATAGAACCTGAAGCAATTCAGTGTGAAGAAAACCACAGGCATCCATTAAATCTTCCTCTTATATTTGTGTATTGAAAAGTCTCCGCATGAACAAATGCAGATCAATAGAAGAGGACCAGGCTTGGATCCTGAACTAGCCACCGTGTCTCAGCCTCAGGTCTGCATCTCTAAAGTGGAAATAACATTACACTGTCTCATAGTTGTGCCCGTAAGACAGACAAAGTATATAGTGTACCATCCCATTGTGTAATTTATTATGTTGATAATTTTCCTTCAGTGATCCATAAACTTGCATGTGAATGTCCTGCCCTATTATTATTATTATTATTATTATTATTATTATTACTACTACTACTATTACTATTAAAAATGGGTGTTTAAGGTTCCAATCAAGTTATTCAAACATTCTCTGAGGTTGTTCACATAAAATTCAGTAATAAATACAATAGAGAACCTTTGGAAACATCTTAGTAAAACAATACCATATTATTAAACTATCAATTCAACATCAAAAATATGGATTAAGAAAATCATCAAGACCAGGCCAAACAATCAGAGCCACAACCACAATTACTTTCCTTTAAGGAAAGGTTTTTAAGGTCTGCTTGAAAATATCCAGGAATGGGGACTGCTTAATATCATATGGAATGATATCCCACACTTTTGGAGCCACCACTGAAAAATCCCTGGCTCAGAATGATGGGTCTGCACACATAGTCTGTGATTTCTGTGGGGCACTGTAATTTTTTCTGCTATTTTCCATGCTAGCCAGGCAAAAGCAGTCGATGAGGATGTGGAGAGGGCTGGTAAGAAGTGTGCCTGGAGAAGATTCCCAAGGGCCTGGAGGTTCCCCACTCCTGATCTAATGGATGGGCCCCAGGAGTACAAGGTAAAGGGAAAATGCAACAAGTAGCTTGCCATTTGCTTCTTTCCCACCCCATCCAATGAGATTATTCTTCACATTCCTTTCTATTCATCCATTTGGGCAAGGGTAAAAAAAGGACTGTGTGTGATTCCCCCTATCATTTTTTTTAAAAAAATAAAATCTTTTGAAAACTGTAACAATAACTCTCACTCCCACATTGTTGTATTTTGCAGTGAAATGTAATTTGAAAGGAAGTGATACTCGGTAGAACATTTGTGGGCTGGGAACAGACTGTTGCGGAGAATAAATGAATAATGAATACTGACAGTTGTCACTACTATTATTCAACTACTATCTCTCGATTGCCTTTCTGACAAAGCTTGCTTCTTCTGACAAAGCCGTGCGCATAAGAGTTGTACACCACAAAAAAGAGTATTCAATCCTTGCTGCTCAACAAATCTTCATTTAAGACAACAACGCTGTTCTAAAATCCCCTTATCTGTTTCTAACACGGAAGAGAGAGAGAGAGAGAGAGAGAGCATATCTTCCATAAGCAAGGGAAAAACTGAATCTGAATTGCTATTTGTTTTTCTGCCTTGTATGCTCCCAATAAGTTTTCCTGGAAGGAGAGAGGAATGTAGTCCCTGGGGATGTTATTAACCCAATGGAAAATTGGCTAGTATGGCCCTGGCAAAAGCAAGGGGGTCAGCAACTGAGTTTGGGGTACCTTTTCCTCCAAGAAGCTCAAGATGGAATACATGGTTCTTCTGCGCCTCATTTAATCGCCACAACAACCATGAGAGTTAGGTTAGACATTTTTTATCTAGCAGGCACCCTTGCCCACTAATGTCAAACTATTTGAATGTGTAATAATTTCCAGAGGGGCAACCGCATTAGTCTACTGTTGCTGCAACAACAGCAGAGTTTTGAGGCACCTTAAATGCTAACTGATTTGCCATTTGAAGTTGGTTATTCAATACAGTTGTGTCCTGTTTTCACCCCAGTTGAGCAAGTTGGCTTTCTTACCCACTCACCCTATTCTTACTCCCCACTATAGACACAGTTTCTTATCCTCTGAACTTTCAGGATGTTCTCTAAGCTATTCAGATAAATGAGAATATCACTCCAAGAGACATACATTTCATGAGGAAATTGATGCAGGGTCTTACAGGCATTTTGTGATCCAAACAGAGTAACCCCATTTAAAAATCTTCCCACATGCATTTCTGCCTCAACTTACTTTTCTGGTTTCAAATCCCTGTAAATAATACCAAGACCATGGAGATGATCTAAAGCCAAGGCCAGCTCAGCTAAGTAGAACTTAACATCTTCTTCTGTAAACATAACCTAGAGAGAAGCAGAAAAAGCAGTATTTTTTTAATGCACAAGTGGATTTATTTATATCGATACTTTTGCTAGGATACTATGATAATATATTGGTCCAACAAAATCAACTGATTATAAGCCAAATGGAAAACAGGCTAACAATTCAAAAGCCAAAAACTGGATTCTGCTAAATCCATTTTGATTTACCGAAATCAATTCAAATATTGGATTTTGGTCCTTTATATTTATATCAAATTTGGGATACTGTCCTGTTCCTCATATCCAAAAGTTCCAGTCCATCATAAATCCATGTCTACCCAGAAATCATGAGTTCTAAGAAGTGTGGATATGATTGCAACCAAAATTTTACAAAATAAGTTTATCGCTAACATGTGAGAGCTGAATAACCTTAGAAACAAAAGCAGAATAGGTGATTATTATTTCCCACTTACAGATGGTCATTTTGGAGTCTGTAGGTATCCTATAAAATGAATCAAATTTTATGACCGCCCCCAAAACACTGATCTGGTTTGCAATTACTGTAGTACAAATATGTAGGTTCCTGTAGAAGAGATGGTGACCACTTTGTTCTTCTTTCTGTTGCTGTGAGTAAAGTAATGGTTTAACTTAGCATTACATCCAAAACCAAGCTGATAGTTTGTCTTGCTCCAGGTAAGCCACAAACTATAACCATGGTCTAGTATTACATATGAACTGGGCTGATTATTTGCTAATCTCTCTCAAGTTTTTTTCGGGTTTTTTATACGACAATCTATCAAATATGAATTAAATCAGTCTTCTTGAAATTGCTCTTTTGGCTAACCTAAAATGAGCCATAGTGAAAAGGCCACATTTACATTTTTAAAATGAAAATGTGCTTTTCTCCATAACTACATTCTTTTTAAAAAAAGAAACCAACAGCAACATTATTTCCGTGTTTCCACAACGTATGTAAAGTTCTACTTCCCAGTATTATAATTAATCCTCCTTATCCCAACTAATATGTTGGGAGGTTTTTCTTATTACTAAATTACTTATTACTAAATACAAACTAAGTTTTTTCTTGTTACTAAAGGGACAATGGCTAAATCCTTGTAAGGAGCAACCGGTAGGCAACTGCTTTAAAAAAAGAAAGAAAAGGGAGGGAAATAATGCTTAACCGCACATTTCCCAATAGCGCTAACATTGATTCTTTATAGAAAGACAAAGACTTCATTTCTGTGTTCTGGGGATAATGGCAGGATGGCTGTGTGTTACACTTCCCTGACCTTGCTTGCAGAGCATATCGAAAGCCATAAGAAGAGGACGGACAGGCAGTTCACCCACGGTCAAAGGAATTGCTCCCTGGAAGTGACTTTAAAAGGCCATCCGCTTCAAGGCAATGACTCTTGTGGCTGGCACAGCTCTTCAGGCAGGATTTAGAATTGAGTAGTCATTACGGCTCACCCAGACAGCAGACTCCAAAAAGCTGCATGAGCAGGTTAGAAAAAGAAGAATACTGTGTATTTTTTTTTAAGTGGCGCATGGTGTCAGCCTGATGTACTCCCATTCACTTTGCCTTGGTGCACTCAGGTCATCATGGCAGAGTTGACTTCCCTTACTCAAGCAGCATTCAATAGGGGAGGACTTAACATGTTACTTCGCACCTATGCTTATTGCTGAAAATGCATGCGGGCGATGACTTAGCTTAGCACAAGATTAGCTTTTGGTATGCAGGCACTGAGATGCTACTGGGGAAAGGGACTGTAGCTGAGTCATAGAGCACCTGCGCTATATGCACAATGGCCCAGGTTCAATCCTTGGCATCTCTGGGTAGCGCTGGGGAAGACTCCCAGTCTGAAACCCTGGACAGCCACTGCCTGCCGGTGTGGGCAATGACAGAGCTATGAGAGCCAATTGCCTAACTCCATACAAGGCAGCTCCCTATGTTCCCACTGCATGGATCACCTGCACAGGGACAGGGTTTCCAGCCAGACAATGAGCAACACGTCCATCAGCCCTGGAAGAGGAATAAAGAATGAAGAGGCAGCAGCAAAGAAAGGAAGGAGCAACAGGAAGACAGACTTGTGTATTGGCAGAGACAGAAAGGATGATCACCATCCTTTGTCATAGTCTGAGGAAGACCCTCTGAAAACAAAGGGCATAAATAAATTACACAAGTCCATTGATTTCAATGGCTCTACTCTGAGTATGGCTTGGTTGGATATTGCCCAAAGAGAGAAATTAATTAAGACTGGAACAGAAAATGCTATCTAAAATATATAAATATTTTGCACTAAGAAAACTAGTTTTTAAAAAACGGAATAGTCCCCTGTTCTGCCCAGTTGAGCAATTAATGTTTTCCTGCCAAAATAAAAGGTTTCCTGCCAACAGTCAGTACCAAGGCTAACAAAAACTGGTAGCATCATCTATTGATTTTGAAGTTTGAATATTCACATTTTAGAGGGATGGGGAGGAACAAGCACAATTTTCCTTTGTGGCAGATGCCAAGGTGTGTCTGAAGTACAAAATGTGTTTGAGTGCTAGAACGAATAAATGGCTGTGACTGAAGGGTGGCCAGTGCTCTGCGATGATCAAGAGCGCTGCATTTCTGCTGCCAGCAAGTGTTTAGCAGGAGGCATTGCACCTCTCTCCAGCTGCTCCATTGCTTTGCAGGTGGTGCTTTGATAGCCGTTGGCACCCTTGGCTGATGGGCATGGCAGGTCTTCCCAACAAACTGCTGTGCTTTGGCTCCAAGAATGGTGTAAATGGGAAGATGCACTCTTGATGTTTCAGGGTGTGGTTCAGCAACAAAGCATTTGCTGAGCTTTGTTGTGACCTTGCCTTATCCTCAAGTATATGGGCAGATTACAGCATGTTTGATCCAGTGCAAATAAAAATGAACCCTAAAGATAAATGCTATAAAGTGCCATGATGCTATGTGTTGGATTTATTCAGGATAAGAGGATTGCAGGGATGTTGTGAGGATAAAATGGTAATGGGGAGAACCATATCCACCACTTTGAGCTCCTTAATGGAAAGGTGGAATATAAATGTAATGAAAATGTTGTTTAGTCGTTTAGTCGTGTCCGACTCTTCGTGACCCCATGGACCAGAGCACGCCAGGCACTCCTGTCTTCCACCGCCTCCCGCAGTTTGGTCAGGCTCATGTTTGTAGCTTCGAGAACACTATCCAACCATCTCATCCTCTGTCGTCCCCTTCTCCTTGTGCCCTCCATCTTTCCCAACATCAGGGTCTTTTCCAGGGAGTCTTCTCTTCTCATGAGGTGGCCAAAGTATTGGAGCCTCAACTTCACGATCTGTCCTTCCAGTGAGCACTCAGGTCTGATTTCCTTAAGAATGGATGCGTTTGATCTTCTTGCAGTCCATGGGACTCTCAAGAGTCTCCTCCAGCACCATAATTCAAAAACATCAATTCTTCGGCGATCAGCCTTCTTTATGGTCCAGCTCTCACTTCCATACATCACTACTGGGAAAACCATGGCTTTAACTATACGGACCTTTGTTGGTAAGGTGATGTCTCTACTTTTTAAGATGTTGTCTAGATTTGCCATCGCCTTTCTCCCAAGGAGCAGGCGTCTTTTAATTTCGTGGCTGCTGTCACCATCTGCAGTGATCATGGAGCCCAAGAAAATAAAATCTCTCACTGCCTCCATTTCTTCCCCTTCTATTTGCCAGGAGGTGATGGGACCAGTGGCCATGATCTTCGTTTTTTTGATGTTGAGCTTCAGACCATATTTTGCACTCTCCTCTTTCACCCTCATTAAAAGGTTCTTTAATTCCTCCTCACTTTCTGCCATCAAGGTTGTGTCATCTGCATATCTGAGGTTGTTGATATTTCTTCCGGCGATCTTAATTCCGGCTTGGGATTCATCCAGTCCAGCCTTTCGCATGATGAATTCTGTATATAAGTTAAATAAGCAGGGGGACAATATACAGCCTTGTCGTACTCCTTTCCCAATTTTGAACCAATCAGTTGTTCCATATGGTGATCAGGCACTCCCATTTCTTTAAGAAGTTGCCATAGTTTGCTGTGGTCGACACAGTCAAAGGCTTTTGCATAGTCAATGAAGCAGAAGTAGATGTCTTTCTGGAACTCTCTAGCTTTCTCTATAATCCAGCGCATGTTTGCAATTTGGTCTCTGGTTCCTCTGCCTCTTCTAAATCCAGCTTGCACTTCTGGGAGTTCTCGGTCCACATACTGCTTAAGCCTGCCTTGTAGAATTTTAAGCATAACCTTGCTAGCGTGTGAAATAAGTGCAATTGTGCGGTAGTTGGAGCATTCTTTGGCACTTCCCTTCTTTGGGATTGGGATGTAGACTGATCTTCTCCAATCTTCTGGCCACTGCTGAGTTTTCCAAATTTGCTGGCATATTGAGTGTAGCACCTTAACAGCATCATATTTTAAAATTTTAAATAATTCAGCTGGAATATCATCACTTCCACTGGCCTTGTTATTAGCGATGCTTTCTAAGGCCCATTTGACTTCACTTTCCAGGATGTCTGGCTCAAGGTCAGCAACCACACTACCTGGGGTATACTGGAGACAATTTCTTTCTGGTATAGTTCCTCTGTGTATTCTTGCCACCTCTTCTTGATGTCTTCTGCTTCTGTTAGGTCCTTTCCACTTTTGTCTTTTATTATGGAAATCTTTGTACAAAATGTTCCTTTCATATCTCCAATTTTCTTGAACAGATCTCTGGTTCTTCCCATTCTATTGTTTTCCTCTATTTCTTTGCATTGCTCGTTTAAGAAGGCCTTCTTGTCTCTCCTTGCTATTTTTTGGAAATCTGCATTCAATTTCCTGTATCTTTCACTATCTCCCTCGCATTTTGCTTGCCTTCTCTCCCCCGCTATTTGTAAGGCCTCGTTGGACAGCCACTTTGCTTTCTTGCATTTCCTTTTCATTGGGATGGTTTTAGTTGCTGCCTCTTGTATAATGTTACAAGCCTCCATCCATAGTTCTTCAGGCACTCTGTCCACCAAATCTAAATCCTTAAACCTGTTCCTCACTTCCACTGTGTATTCATAAGGGATTTGACTTAGATTGTATCTTACCGGCCCAGTGATTTTTCCTACTTTCTTCAGTTTAAGCTTGAATTTTGCTATAAGAAGCTGATGATCTGAGCCACAGTCAGCTCCAGGTCTTGTTTTTGCTGACTGTATAGAGCTTCTCCATCTTTGGCTGCAGAGAATATAATCAATCTGATTTCGATGCTGCCCATCTGGTGATGTCCATGTGTAGAGTCGTCTCTTGTGTTGTTGGAAAAGCGTGTTTGTGATGACCAGCTTGTTCTCTTGACAGAACTCTATTAGCCTTTGCCCTGCTTCGTTTTGAACTCCAAGGCCAAACTTGCCAGTTGTTCCTTTTATCTCTTGATTCCCTACTTTAGCATTCCAATCCCCTATTATGAGCAGAACATCCTTCTTTGGTGTCATTTCTATAAGGTCTTGTAAGTCTTCATAGAATTGGTCAATTTCAGTTTCTTCAGCACCAGTAGTTGGTACATAAACTTGGATTACTGTGATGTTAAAAGGTCTGCCTTGGATTCGTATCGAGATCATTCTATCATTTTTGAGATTGCATCCCAGTACAGCTTTCACCACTCTTTTGTTGACTATGAGGGCCACTCCATTTCTTTTACGGGTTTCTTGTCCACAGTAGTAGATATGATAGTCATCCGAACTGAATTCGCCCATTCCGGTCCATTTTAGTTCACTGATGCCCAAGATGTCAATATTTATTCTTGCCATCTCATTTTTGACCACATCCAACTTACCCAGGTTCATGGTTCTTACATTCCAGGTTCCTATGCAATATTTTTCTTTACAGCATTGGACTTTCCTTTCGCTTCCATGCATATCCGCAACTGAGCGTCCTTTCGGCTTTGGCCCAGCCGCTTCATCAGCTCTGGATCTACTTGTACTTGTCCTCCGCTCTTCCCCAGTAGCATGTTGGACACCTTCCGACCTGAGGGGCTCATCTTCCAGCGTCATAACTTTTATATGCCTGTTGTCTTTGTCCATGGAGTTTTCTTGGCAGGGATACTGGAGTGGCTTGCCAGTTCCTGCTCCAGGTGGATCACGTTTGGTCAAAACTCTCCACTATGACCTGTCCATCTTGGGTGGCCCTGCACGGCATAGCTCATAGCTTCTCTGAGTTATTCAAGCCCCTTCGCCACGGCAAGGCAGTGATCCATGAAGGAGGTAATGAAAATAAAAATAACTAAATATATGAGAAACTAGAAGGATGGAATTTGCTAAGAGACACAGCTACCAGTATAGAATTACTTTGGTTTGTTTTTCAAACAAAACACATTAATCTATTGGACTCACCTCTTTGGAAAGTCTGGTGAAAAGGTCCCCACCTCGTAGGAAATCTAGTATAAGATATAGCTTTCCTTCTGTTTGAAATGCTACAGTAGAAAAAGACAGTAGGATATTCAGATATGTTGGACCTGTACACGTTCAGTGAAAGCATGAAGGAGTTTTATGGGAAGGGGATAATAGGTATGTTTTGTTTTGGCAGGGACCATAGTGGCATTGGGTGCTTCTTCCACTTTTGCATAACAGCAGCTATGAAAGTCTATTATCACAGATAATGGCCTTTCAGTCAGGGCATGGCTGGAAGGCACTTGATGCAGCAACTTTGCTGAAGCTAAACACATCTGGCTTTGGTCAGTGTCAAGATGGGAGACTACCTAGTAACTCTGCCTGCGCTCCCTTGATATCTATGATGGAAAAGAGACAGAAAAGCATCACCATCACCTTCTGTTGATGGGGACAGAATATTGCAGGTGGCAACTTAATGCTCATTCCATTATTCAAGTCTCTGGGTAGATTAGTGTAACCCACTATCTCTCATGCAATTCTGCTCCACAATGGTGTTGGGAGGTTAAAATACCGCTCTCTGAACCTCCTGTAGAATAGACCAGGTACGCTGGTAACATAAAAATAAAGTGCTCTTAAAATAAATAAGGTATTCACCATGTTGTTACAGTAACAGCCACACTTTTAACATTTGGGGGGAAAGGGTTCTAGTACTGCGTACCCTTGACTGGATAAATATGATCTATATAAGTAGGCAATCAAAAACCACACATAGATAATGAATTTGAATAGCAAGGGATCCAGTGGAAAATATCCCAAGGCGATTAGGAATTGATTTATAGAGAAATCTTACCATAATGAAGTTTTACAATGAAAGGATGATTCACTTCTGCCAAAATGTCTCTTTCCATTTTTGATCGGACACGATCTCGGACTGTAAAGAGAGAACAATAACACATCAGGATACCCCACGGTTCAAGAGACTCACGGTGTACGGTTAGATCGGCTGCTGTGCTGCAGCATAATCACGAATAGCTCGTTTTAGTTTTGTATGCGTGTTGCTATCCCCTCAACGGAGCACGCAGGCAAGGAATCAAAGGCAGGCATGTGCTGCACATACAGCTGGAGCCATTTGCTGCCATCGTTGGTAGCAGGTTCCCTCTGCTGAAGAGCCAAGTCACTTAGGAAAACGGAGCAGTGTGAGCTGCTCCAGTGCAAATGGGAAGAAGAGCTTTTTATGTGCATACAATTCTATCCTGCAGGTGCATAACTCTTCTTTTGTATGACAGGCCATAGATACTTGCCTTTCTTGATAAGCAGGGAGTTTACAGCTTGATTTTTCTTGCTAGAAACACACCTAGAATGGCAGTGGCAGTAGAATAATTCCCAATTCCCCAACTTATCAGGCAGCACCATTTGCAGCACAGCATGGCACAGCGGGGGGACATCAGAGGTCTCTTGCATGGTTAGAAGCAGCTCTGTACGCTTCCAGCTGGCTGGAGGACAGGGACAATGGGACTTTGGGAAGCCAATCAGCTACCATGATGGGCTCCCAGGGCTCCCAGGGGTGGGGCCTTGGGAATGGACTGGACAGAAGACAAGTCTGCCCCTGGGTTATAAAAGGCAGACCATACCTGCTCTCCTCATCTCAGTCATGCCAGACTTTCCCACCCACCCACGCTTTCATTTTTACTGCACTTCATGCTGCTTTGCAGAAATGAATTTGCTGTCCAATGACACTGCTATGGACAGATGTTGGTTGCTGGTTTCAGGGTTGAGGAGGAATTCTGTCCATAGGCGGACTGGCTTTGGTCCCATGGATTTTCACTTGCCTCATAGCAATCATCACAACTGAAGATGGCAGGAGAGGCACTGGGCTAGATGCTGAGGAACAAAGGACAAGAAAGGGAAATCCAGCCCAAGTCTATAGATGGATCCCCTTGAGGGATTCTAGAGTGTGGTGTTTTCTGTCCAGAACCATGTTTTAGAGCCATAGCATCCTCTACCATTGGCTGAATGGGGTCTACTGGAAGAGGTTCGTACTGTAGAGGACCCCAACACTGGCGAACCCACATTGGTTGGCTAACAGCAGATCACCCAGCAAGTGGATTGGGTGATTAAGGAATCTCTGCCCATTGCCTATGCCAAACCTATTCTTCTGCTGTCAATAAAGTTGTGGAGTAATTTCAGTCCAACACATGGCTCTATGTTATTTGCCACCTGCTCCCCCCCCTCACAGCTTCACTGCATCCGGGCCTGCCATGAAAACTATCTGTTTGTTAGGCTGATTATTTGTTAATAGTCTAGGGTGGGTTTTTTTGACTAGTGAAAGCTAATGGAAGCTAGTGACAGCAGTCTCCTAATACCTGGAAAGCACTCTTTAGATTTTGGAATAAGATACCCATCAGAGCTTTGAGAATGCAACAACTGACTGGCTGAGAAGAGACACAGGCAATGAAAAGACATTTTAAATACAGCTAGAGAGCGAGCGAGCTGAGAATTACTAGTTAGAACTTTGTTGTACTTTTGAGGGCTGCACAAATTCAGAAATAAACCCCACTGAGTCCAGTGAGGCTTAATTCTAGGTAAATGGATCCAGGACTGCAGATTAGTCTGAGTAAACGGCTTGCTCCCATTATGTCCTGCTTGTTGTATATTTGTATATAAAGCAAATCTTACAAAGACACTCTCAAACCTTCTATGCTTTCACCAAAAGTTATAGCATGGTTTCTGAAACTGCTCACTACTTGGGGAACAATATATAATCATAGCAGCAGGTATTAACCACAGATCAGTCCTAAGTGTATTCAAATATTTGTCCAGACCTAATGTTACTAGTAAGGATGACTCACGGAAAACCACCTCCTGGATGCAGTTTTGATAAAAACACAATGAGTAAGAAGAAAAGTCAGAGGCTAGGGCAGAGGAGACGAGTCTTATTTTCTTGGGCTAACAGTCATAACTGTGATGGATCAAGTGAGCAGAGCCCATGAGAGAAATCTAATAAGGGAATGTCTATTGGGTTCAAACTAATTTTAAGAAATGACGCAGAATATGTATAGCAAGAATGTCTTAACCACATTTCAGATGAATTTGCAATATTCTAATTAGATGGGACGCGGGTGGCACTGTGGTATAAACCACTGAACCTAGGGCTTGCCGATCGGAAGGCTGGCGGTTTGAATCCCTGCAACAAGGTGAGCTCCCGTTGCTCAGTCCCAGCTCCTGCCAACGTAGCAGTTTGAAAGCACGTCAAAGTGCAAGTAGATAAATAGGTACCGCTCTGGCAGGAAGGTAAACGGCATTTCCGTGCGCTGCTCTGGTTTTACCAGAAGCAGCTTAGTCATGCTAGCCACATGACTTGGAAAAACTGTCTGCAGATAAAAGTCGGGTCCCTTGGCCAGTAAAGCGAGATGAGCGCCACAACCCCTGAGTCCTTCGCGACTGGACTTAACTGTCAGGGGTCCTTTACCTTTAGTCATTAGATTATATCATATGGTCCCAATAATACTTTCCTTTCTGATAAGAATTTGGATGGACTTGAACACTCATTTATCATACTGCAAGCCACACAAGGGCAGCTTTAAACCCACCTTATATAGTTGCATATATCCAAAAGTGTCATCTCTAACATACACAACAAACTGCCAAAAAGCATCACTACTGGATTTTTGTGTGTGTGTTGGTCTTGCATTGGACATAGCAAAAATAGAACCTTTAACTAAGTTAGGGTTGCTATGCGTCCAGAATTTCCTGGACATACCCGGAATACTGTAGTCAGAAGCAGTGTCCAGGTGGAAATCGGCAAAATGTCTGGGAAAGCCATGTTGTCAGTGTCATTGTTGCCGTTTTCCTAAAAAAAAAGAATAGCTCAAAATGGGCATTTTGTTGCGGTTTTGCAAAAATAGTTCAACAACTTTTGTGTCTGCATTTTCACTTTTTGAAATATGTTAACCCTAAGCTATGTGATTCTATGAGTGGTTAGGAAGTTGCTTCCACAACCTACCACACAGTGTTGTAGTACAGAAAAAAAGGAGAGGGACCAATGTACACTGTCCTCAGCTCCTTGAAGGAAGGGTAAGATTAAAAGTGTAACCAAGAAATCAGTATAGGTGCTTAGCATCAAAGTGTGTCAATTGGTTCAGTCTTTGTCTGTATTCCTGACCAAGAGTGAGCATGCAAAAGTCGCTCTGATATCAGTAGGGATGACATACTCATAACTGAATGCAGGATCACCCTAAGTTATGAACAAATATTTACAGCATGGTTACTTGTAAATAAATCCCACTGAGTTTCATGCAGCTTACTTCCAAGTATGAGTGCGTAGGGTTACAGACTCAATAACTGATTCAAGCTTTGCCCACCCATATTGCAGTAAAACCAGCCAAAATCCAAATGGATGCATTGCAGACATTGGCATTTTGGTGGCAATGCATGATACCTAAAAAAAATGTATTAGCAAGAAATTACTAATTTTCTGGTTTAAATTGACTCATACTGGCAAATCAATTGAGACTTTATTTGATTAATCTACCAATGAAAAATTACTAAAGCCTGCAAGCAGCAGAATTTTACAGAGATAACGCAGCTTGGAAAGGTCGATGTCCAGTCAAGTTTGTTATGGGCCTTAATAGAAACTTTATTAAAACAATGATTCATTGAATTTCTGAGGCTGCTAAACAACAGCTTTACAAAAGATGACCAAACCCTGAAAACTACAGTAACACGAAAAGTAGAACAGCAGGATAACAGTACAGACCAACTGAGCGGCATAAAGAAAACAATCTGCTGAGCATTTGCAAGGCATCTGATGAAAACCAACAGGGAGGCTTTCTCTAGAGCCCAGATGGAGAACCCATGCCTTTTGAGATGCTTCCAGACAAACTCCCATCATCCCATGCTGGCTGAGGCTGATGGGTGTTGGAGTCTGGAGGGCAACAGGTTCCCCATCCCTACCATAGACATTTCCTGCTGGTTATCAGAATAAAATGTAAGCTTATCACTAACTACCTTAAGTTTGTTTGGACACCCTGACATTCTTCATATATTTGTCAAGATTTGAGCAGTGACATCACATGTTGCTTTAATTCCTCTGCCGCTGCACTTCCCCCATGACCTCTCTTTTCTTTGTTTTTCTTGCACGCCTGGCTATTGTATTTTCTTTCTTTCTTTCTTTCTTTCTTTCTTTCTTTCTTTCTTTCTTTCTTTCTTTCTTTCTTAAATCCCACTCTGACTGCTTATTCTGGTAGCCTACCAATGACATGGCTTTCCCAGAAAAAATCTGAATTGGAAAATGTTCCTAATTTGCACTGGAAAATTTCCATGTTTGTGTTGGAACATCTTCTGATGTCCTGGAGAGTGATCTAATTTAGCATGGTTATTTTACTTGCTTTTACTAAAAACTAAAAACAGTGAAGCTGCAAAGCTTGCCTAATATTGTATTTGTACTTATTCACTGTTAGCAATGAACTTAAGAAACAATAAAACAAAAAAAGCTTGCAAGATTTCTGTCTGACATCACTGTAGCCCACTTTTGTTGTCATTTCTTTTTTCTCTGTTGGATGGGCTAGCTAGGGTAAGGTGAATTATGTAGGTCTTGTCTTTTGTTGTTTGCTTGGTCTTATTAAAAAGAAAACAAGCAAATAAGCAAATCATTATAATAAAGAGGTTTGTTTGACATCTGAAGCATTTGTTACCCAAATGATGCTGGTAACGGAAGGATTGAGCTCATGAAAAAGAAGAGGGGGCAGGTGAGATTATTTGGGGACAGATGAGGATTTGCTACTTTTACTTTTGAAAATGGCAGACTGTATAAAGAAATAACATTCCTAGGTTTTCTGTAACGGCTTGCTAACATGAATAACCAGAAAGAATTAGCAGGAGAAAAGAGAATTAATATTCAGCATATGCACTTCTGAGCCACGTGCCTTCCAT